TATCGGCAGAAAAACTTTCTATTTTAGTGTCCTCTTTTACGGTCCCTTTCATCCAATGAATACCCCCCGTATGCAAGGTAATTTTGTAGTTTTGATGCCCCCTCGGTAGAGATGAAATTTTGCGCACTTTTTTTTATCAAAACAATCACACCAAAATCAGAGATGACCCATATTTTAATTACTCGATTAACAACTAATCGATTATTTGTGGTTCGCTGTGCTGCCATTTTTCCACCAATGAGAGTGCAGCACATGTTTGAAACGATCGGTGATGATCCTCTGGAGATGTTAGATCTAATATCGGCATGATATAACCGATTACAAATATTTTACTTTTCGGTTCGTTAGTCGATTATTCGAATGAAAATCGGCCATCACTAGATTAATGTGAAACGTCATTTCAAATATTAGGACCGTACATAAATAATGATACAATTTGATAGGGACCGGGGCTAATCACAAATTACGTCCCCACAGTAACTGAAATACACATGAGTGTTCACCGGTTGGTTGGGGCATGAGCACTAACTCTTGTCCTAGCCTTTTATGACTCATGGCTATAGCGCCATTAGGTACTCGCTTTCTGAAAAGAGAAGAGGGAAAGGAAAAGGAGAAGGACACAGGCAAAAGGATTATTTGAAATCTATGATTTGAAATATACAATATAGAAATGCATAACGGCGCGGTGGTCACTACCCAAGTCTTGTCACTATTATCAAGTCATAAAAAGTAACAAGGACTAACATGTGATCCTTTGATTACTGGAAAATCTTGAACTGATTCCCTAGTTTGAAGTTGTCACGACTAGGTTTCGGTGCTAGATTTTATACCAGTAACGCACCACAAAAAGGTGATCTCCCAACGTTACTGGTTTGAAAAGATTAAAATTTACAAAATAGAACGAACTCACCAAGTTTAGTCAATTGAACCTGATGGCTGCCTGACATGTGTTGATGTAGAAGTCCAAATTGTAGACGAAGCTTGACGAAGATCAACATGAACTAGTCACAGCGGCGCCGGTGGTGTAGTGGTAAGCGTGATTACCTCTCACCCAAGCAGGCCTGGGTTCAATCCCAGTCGGCCCCGCCGGGATGTTCTGAGGCATAACAACTCTGATCACGCCTTCCTTCGGAAGCGAAGTAGAGCCGTTGGTCCCCGGTTCATGAGTTGATGGGTCGATATGTAGGTAGGGTCCAGGTGTGGGAGCTGCCTTCCTGGCGTCGGTAGCATTGGTGCTCAACACGGAAAACAAGATCGACGGAAAACAAACCAAGGAAAGAAAAAAAAAACATGAACTAGTCCGGTTTATGGTAGTTGCGCGGAATGTCTTCCTTCGATTTGAGATAAACTAATGTTCGGATGTATGTAGTCGATTTTTGATGTGCATTGGAAAGCCTTTTCGTGGCCAATAATCAGGTTCAACGCTGCGACTCAACGAATGATGGAACTAATGATGGGACGCCTCGTGGAGATTCTACTTGGTTTCGGAACAGCTTCTCAGCGGCAAATAATAGGGCTGCCCTTAGCTCAGTCGGTAAAGGCGCAGCTACAAAGCAAGACCATGCTGGAGGTGGCTGGGTTCGATTCCCAGTTCGGTCTAGGAATTTTTCGGGTTGGAAAATTTTTAGACTTCCCTGGGCATAGAAGCAACAATCAATACGAAACTAACGATTTTAAATTGGCTCACCACTTTAGTAGCCTATTGGTCCCAAGCAAACGATTAACGTACCCTATTCTAGTTGAAATTCTATTACTACACTATGTTTGTTTTGATTCGCTATGAAAGTTTGACAGATAACAACAGGGGTGTGTGGATTCATGCAGAACATGCAGGGGTGAGTGAAATAGCTTGGGACTGCTTGGGACCGTTGTTCTGGTACTGAGTGAGCCAAAAATAATAATGATTTTCTTCGGGACCCAGTGGTCTTAGAGTTACCTCTGTGATAGAAGTATGATTGGACTTTGCCACACAATCATATCAATGCAAAAATGGTACAGGCATCGAATGCTATCAATTAATATCTGTGGAAGTGCATCTAGAACACTTAGTTGAGAGCACGCAATAAGCTGATATGCGATATTTGTATTTGTATTTGTATTTGTATTTAAAATAATTCATCTGACAATTTAGTCTTAATGAATATATTAGAGCTAATTTAACACAGACCTAATCCGATTTGCAAAACGTTCGGTTGGTTCATTGAACTCGAAAAACTCTTCGACAGCCGTAAACGGGTTGGTTCATGGTTCGGTGAAAACTTGGTTGCAGTAGCGTTGTATTCCGAAGAGATCTGCTCAGCACACGAAAGTTCATCATCGCAAGCAGGTCGGGGGCATCAGTTTCACCATTCAACAGCTTAGTAATAAGCAACGATTGCTGTACTTTCCGTCGTTGTTCGAGTGTGTCTAAGCCCAACAGTCGGCATCTATCAGGATACGGCGGCAAATTGTCAGGATCACTCCACGGCAAGTTTCTCAGTGCCAGACGAATGAACCGTTTCTGAACCCGTTCGATCCTTAGGCACCACGTGACATGGTGAGGATGCCAAACGACGGACACATTTTCCAAAATTGGACGGACAAGTGCACAGTACAATGACTTCCAACAATGTGGATCCGAAAAATCCTACGCAACTTTGGAAATAAAGCCCAACTATCGCGTTGCTTTCGATATGAGCGCTGAACGGTGTAAATCAAAAGTAGTTTTTGTGTCTAGTTGAACCCCTAGATCAGTCACACTGGTAACTCTGGTAAGAGTATCGCCGTCAATATGATAGTCAAACAAAATTGGATGTACCATGCGGTGAAACGTGATTATCTGACATTTTTCCACACTAATAGCAACAATCAATACGAAACTAACGATTTTAAATTGGCTCACTACTTGACTAGCCTATTGGTCCCAAGCAAACGATTGAAGTACTCCATTCTAGTCAAAATTCTAGTACTACGCAATGTTTGTTTTGATTAGCTATGAAAGTTTGACAGATAAAATGAGGGGTTATTGGTTTTACCTATGTTTCGAGGGGTGATTCGACAAGCTTGGGACCGAAGATAGTACCAGAGGTGAGCCAAAAAGTTGAGCACGTTTCTTCGGGACCTACTTGTCTTAGAGTTACCTCTATGCTAATAGTCAGTTTGTTTCTCTGGCACCAATCGGCCAACAAAGTCAGCGAGTTTTGCAGAAGCCAACAATCTTCTTGTGTGCGCACCACAATGTACAGCTTTAAATCATCTGCATAGACCAGTTTGAATCCTTCGCCCAAAACCAAAGCAGCATCGTTGAAGAACAGAATAAACAGCAACGGTCCGAGATTACTACCTTGTGGAACTCCAGAATTGTTTGAAAACGGCGAAGATACAAAACCCTCACCTTCACTCGAAGTACACGTTCTGTAAGGTAGGATTCCAACCAAAAAACCAATTGCATAGAAACTCCAAGACGAGATAACTTGTGTAGCAGTATGTTATGATCAATTTTATCGAACGCCGCCTTCAGGTCGGTATAAATTACATCGACTTGCGCTTTTTCCTCCATACTTTTTATGCACTTCGACGTAAAATTCAACAAATTGGTGGTAACCGATCGTCCGGGCATGACTCCGTGTTGATCAGTGGATATGTAGCTTTTTGTGGCATCGAGAATAACTCCACCCACTATAATCTCAAACAATTTTGAGACACGATCACCACGTTTGAAAATGGGTGTCATAAACGATTGCTTCCAAATGCGAGGGAATTTTGCTTGCTGAAGTGAGCGATTGAAGATATCACACAACGGTTGTGCTAAAGCGGCAATACAACGGCATATTATAACTGCAGGCAAACCATCAGAACCAGGGACAAACGAACGTTTCAGTTTATTTGCAGCCAATGAAACTATTTCTGGATTTACAGCAAATAGCCAAACTCAACAAAATCAGCGGGAACATCATTGGTGGCTTCATCGATTTCCAAGTTTGAGGCGGGATTCGTCGCGATATGCAATAAGCTTGAAATGTGAAGAAGAAGAAGACGAAGAATGAGGAACTAGAAATTGTCTCCTCTCATCCGTTAAGGTGACAATAGTCACCTCGTGTGAGGTGACTCTCCATTTGATTTGCACGGAGAGTCACCTCACACGAGGTGACAATTGTCACCTCACCGGTGACAGAGAGTCACGTGACTCGCAGAATTAGGGGGAGAACCTCAATTTATTCCTTAAAATAATCTCTGTATTAAGGAACTCCGTAGAGTTTGAAAAACATTTGAGCCTAAATAAATACACTAATTGAAAAAAACAGCCATCACACAGACCTCAATGGTACGACTTTCGTTGGGTTCAGGGATGCATATTAGGTGGGCATCAGATCCGAAAGAAAGTCTAAGAGCGATAACGTAACCAAAGACATATGAAACATTTCAACTAATAACCAAGCCCATTAAGCCTTTTTGCTATATAAGACTGATTTTTATATATGCCTAATTCAGCCTTATATTGCACTTTTGCATTAGCGTGCTTGATGGTTACTTTGGTTCTTCTAAATTTTATCAGTGATTTACTATTTTCTCTGAGCGTCCAACACAACCATTTTATTTTCATCGACCACGAGTAAAGCATTCCTGAGCGTTGTGCTATGTCCTAAATCTTGGAATTTTAGAATAAGTTCGGATATTATTTCTATTTAGTTTAAAGCCAGTATTGCATTTTTTTTTCCTTTAATTATTTAAATATTAATATATGAAGTACAGCTTATTTTCACTATTTACTTTTACACTTCTCTTGCACTCTCATGGTTCCGATTTCACTCGTTTCCGCTTCACATAGCAGTTCACGTCTGAATTCTCATCACCGGGACCGGTTATTTATCGGATCGCTTTTCTCTCTCTTTTTTTTTGTTTTCCTAAAATAAGGATTTAGACTTTTCTGTTTTTGACACCTATCTTAAGGGATAAGAATGCGCGCTCAAAAATATATTCCGTTTGTCATATTTTTTACCTTTCTCTTTGTTGAATCATGATTTCCGTTCCGTCACACTAGATTAGATCGGTTCTAATTCCTAGGAATTATTCTTAGATTAAAAAAAAGATTCCTAAGCACAATCAATAAACCTATCAGCAGAACAAGGATCTGTCGGCACTTCGCAAATCGTAGATGGTTATAAAGGTTGAAGTGTCTGGTATCCTTGGCTTTTTTTTTTCGATAAACACCTGTTTGTTAGTATCGGACTATTTCCTGTTTGAACGAATGTATTGAACTCGTGAATCAAAATATCTATACAAATACACTCATATCTTTTGCTGCTGTTTTACCATTTCCAAGTTGCACGTGGGACTGCGTAAGCATGCGCCTATAGTACTTATCACAAAGTAAAATATTGAATTTGATTTTGCTCGCACTTAAGAAGACAGAGATAGAGCGCTAGCTGATGTCTCTGTACTGACCCTGTTTACCAGGCTTAACGATCTGGGGGGGTGCCTTTTCTTAGTTTTCTTTGCAACTTTGCCTAAATCAATGTTGAACTTTCTGGGAGCTGTTTGTCAAATCTTTAAAAAGTTAGAAGCAACCGAACGGAGTTCCATTTGATAGTTACAATAAAGGCTAAGGTTAACAATCTGCCCTCAGCTCAGTATGTGTAGAATCCTGCATAAAAAGCCACCACACTTAACCTAACGCATGTGCTCCGCTCAGCTAACGGAAATGTTCAATCCTGCAACTCAAAACTGAGCGTTCCTCATCCTTCTCATGCCGCTTATTTATTGCTGGTGGTCGTCTTCGGAAGCACTGGCGTTCGATTGTTGGCCACTGCTGTTGGGCGCTACGCTTGCGGCGGCACCACTCTTGACGGCAGCCGCATAGCTGGAACCACCACCCGGGGTGGAAGCATTCGGTACACCGATCGGCATAGATTCTGTATACAGAGAAAAGATACACGGGATAGGCAAAGGCAGCAAAATTGGCGCGGTTTGTTTGGATGATTGCGGGAAACGAAAGGACGGAAGGAAGAAGGATAGATTGTCGGTTTTCTAATGAAGAGAAAGCATAGTGGATCCCCGAGCCAATATGTAACAGGTATGGGAAGAGGATGGGGCTTGATGTGTATGCGTGTGTGTTTGGTGTTGTCTTGATAGAGGGATGGCGTTACGGTCTCACGTTACGGTCGTTTAATTTATTCAGTTCAGTTGTTGACTTCGAGCGGAACGCTTTCATTACCTGGCCGGGTGGTGTTCGTTGGTTCGACGGTTCTGAGATCATGCTTCTTGAGGAGCTGGCATTCGCCACCCTCTTGCGGAAGCTGGTACACATACAGGTAGCCATCTTGCGATGCTACCAACAGTCTGGCAAAGGAAGCATTTGGTTAAAACCTACTCAACTGATTTCTGACGTCAACTTACCTCAACGACTTCTGGATCGTAGCAATGACACAGGAATGTCGAAGTCCAGCCACTGGAAGTACGGCCGACGCAAAGGCTCTACCCTGCGTGAATACATCCGTAACCTGCGAGGGTAGCGGTAGATAACTCGACACCGCCTTGCTAATGTAGCCCATCCAGTGGTCCTTGCTGCCTTGGTCATCGTTGCTCTCCGGGGAGGTCCGTTCAAGCTTGAAGATGTGAACCGTTTCCGTATTGGAGCTGCAGCACAGATACTTCGAGCAGGTGCTGAACGCTAGCGAGGCAATCGAGACGCACCGTTTAACGCCCCGCCGGAATTCAAACAGCTTCGAACCATCGTTTACGGAAAACACCCGAATCACAGTTCCCTTCTCGCTGGCCGTGGCTACTTCCGTGCCCATCTGACTGAACGCAATAGCAGCCAGTGGCGAATCGTGTGCAGGGATCATCGTTTTGGCATGCAAATTGACCGCGTCGAATATCTGGACTTCGCCAACGGTGGCACTGCCCGGATAGGCCAGGTAGCAATGATCCGAATCGGAAGCCAGCGCGCACAGTCCGGTCGTGTTCGGTGGGGTGTCCCGGATGGTGTGTACCACTTTCATGTCGCGAATGTTGTGAATGTACAGACTTTCCTCCAAGCAAACTACCAGCCGAGACCGGTTCAGTTTGACCGCCAGAATCGTGTTCGAGTACGAGTAGTTGCAGATTTCCGTGCCTTTCTTGAAGTGACATACCTTCAGCTTTCGGGGGGCATTCAGCGAGACGACCGCCACCAGAGAACTGGTAAAAAGACGTTCCACCAGGCAGATGTCCTCGCCATAGCTGGAGTAGATCTGATCCAGATTGTTGTCCACCGAGTTCAACGCAAATAGACTGTAACCGCTTTTGGAACCAACGGCCAGGGAACTAGAACGATTTTCCAAAATGTTACCGATCGATAATTTTAAAATTTTTGGTAAATTCAACACTTACGAGCAGTCCTGATTGAAGTTGACGAAGAATCCACCGGCATCGATGTCAGCCCGGGACGAGAGGCTCATTCTAGATGTTGATCCTTTATCACGCGCTCCTACCGGCTACTACCTGTAGTGATTCGTACCAAACGCTGTTTTGCCTTTCGTGTTTTACTTGGTGCTCCGCTGTGTAATGAATCACTGGGTGCAATATGTGATGTTTACTCCTTTCGTGGATGTGGCCTGGGTTAGAAGAAAGCATAAAATTGATTATTCTGATGCCTCTGCAGCTTCGAGCAACGTATGCATATTCTATGGGATGCGATACAGCAACACTTTGAGTTTGATTTCACGACTGGCTAGCATAGTATATGCAACTTGTGTGGGTATCTAATCAAATCTATATCCAGTATTATGCAGCGCATGATTACAATAGTGGCGGAAACGACATTTTTCAGCAGATGTCGGTATGTTCATGCCAGTTTGAAGATAGCTGATCATTTAATTTTAATTTAATCCATTATTGGGGCTACATTCAGTCTGTTGATGTTGACAAATAAATAAATTAAAAAAAATCTAATTCCAGGTTCGAATCAATAGTAGCGTACTGCAACAACCCTTGCAATTATAAACATGACAGGGAAATTATGAATCCTAACGAATTTTGGCGTTGAAAGAATGGCAGAACAGAGATGAGACTGAAGACTTCTTTAATAAAGAACACACAAAAAACGATGTGGGGAATTTCCTTAAACGTTTTCGTTTTAGTTTTCGCTTTCAAGCTCAGAAGGGGATCATATATATATAGGGCCAGGTCTCCAATGACAAATCACTGTCCCTACTGGGTAAAAATTTAGATTTTGCATCACAGAATAATAACCATAAGGATCAAATGAATCCTGCTTAAAATACCGGATACGCGGGTAGCGATCAATGTTGTCAAAAATAGTGATTTTAATAACCTACTATTTTGCCGTTCGTCACGATTTGGAGCCTTCTGCACTTTGTACGTATGCAGTCCCTCCCGGTCCTTGGCTCGCTGAACGAAAGACTTGGACATAAAGGGTGATACGGTCAAAATTTGGTCAAGGGAAAACGCGTGTAAATCGGTGAAATCGTTTATTTAAAAAATCAAATTAAATTTCTTTTTCAAGTTCAATTAGTATAAAATTCAGGAAAAATATTCAGTTAGGCTTCCGCTTTTCCAAATCCGAATTGCCGGGCCTTACGCTTGACCCCTGCCATCAGATTTTGTACAGCCACCTTGTCCACCTTCTTCGCCGCAGAAAGCCAGTTTGCCTTGAACTGCTGCTCGCCCTTAGCAGTTTTTTTGGTCTTCTTTAGGTTCCGCTTGACAATAGCCCAGTATTTCTCAATTGGGCGGAGCTCTGGCGTGTTGGGAGGGTTCTTGTCCTTGGGAACCACCTGCACGTTGTTGGCGGCGTACCACTCCATGGCCTTTTTACCGTAATGGCAAGATGCCAAATCCGGCCAAAACAGTAGGGAACAACCGTGTTTCTTCAGGAAAGGCTCATTTTTTGGCTCGATGCACGGTTGTAGACGATACACCCAGCTTATTTGCGGCATCTCGGAGAGAGAGGTTAGGGTTTCGCTTGAAACTACCGGCAACTCTCTTTGTCGTCTCAGCGGCTTCCGGTTTTCGATTTCCTCCCGATCCAGACTTCCTGGCTGTCGACAAACGTTCCCCAAACACTTTAATTACATTTGTAACGGTTGATTTGGCAACTTTTAGCGATTTTGCCAACTTTGCGTGCGAGTAGCTCGGATTTTCGCGATGCGCGAGCAAAATTTTGATACGCTGCTCTTCTTGCTTGGACGGCATTTTGACAACTGAAGAGTGAATTCCAAAATCAAAATAGGAGCAACATTCTACACACACACACCTTCAAAATGAGGGGTGTTCAGGTTTTTTAAATGCAAAATTGAAAGAATTACGTCAAGTTGATATTGACCAAATTTTGACCGTATCACCCTTTATTCAACTTTTTGGCCACATCCCTGACCGTGCAGCAATGGGATTCCGCTTAAACGCTTTCACGCCTCGCTTGTGATCCTGACCACTAATAGAACATCCATTCTGACCGCATTTCTCCTTCCGTTCGATGCTCAGAGTTTGGTAGTAACGTTTAATCAAACGACTCACCGTTGACTGCACGATTACGAGTTGTTTTCCGATGTCCCGATGAGAGAGTTGAGGATTTTCCAGGTACTTGCGCAAAATCAATTCTCGACGTTGCTTTTCGGGTGACGCCATTTTTCCAACTTGCGAAAAACTGACAGCGATAAAAATACAGTGTAAACAATACACTCTAAACTACTTCTACCTAAATTTTCAAGAGAACATTACCAATGGGTAGTTTTTCTACAGCGTTTTTTCCGTGATGCAATTTGATGTGGGACACCCTTTATGTATGTATGTAAGAAGCAACCATCCTAGCTCTGCATGCGGCTCCACTCAACAGCAAGATCAAATTTCGTTATCATTCTGAATTCAAAATACTGATGTATGAAGAGCCAAAAGGGGTTGGACGGTCCAATGACATTTCATGATTAATCGTTGGGTTGCAGGTCATTGCATAAAATATCGGCGAAAAATGTCTACTTTTTTAAATGCAAACGTTAATATATGTTTTTCTGTGTGAAGCAAGGTGATGAATACGTTAAATCCAGCTATATAGTTATGAATAAAGGACGTAAATAGTTTACGATGAACAAAGACATAAGTTCAGAAGTGTTAAGTCATAGAATTTTATACCAGGGTATAATGATTTTAATAGAATTGACTACCCCCTTGATTCCCTTTCTCATTTTACAGCTGGTATAATCAAATTGACATGAATTGGGCTACAAAAAGGTGAGTTGACAACCTGGAAGGAGCGGAATACCTAGCCCTGGTCCTCACAAGTTCCTACTTCACGCCTCCCCGAGTCATATGATAACAAAAGACTACCAGCTAAAACATGGACACAGCTGGGTGGCGTAGCCTGGGCAATGTTGCCAGTCCGGCAATAGCAAAGTGAAGAGGTGCGACGCGAACACGGGCGCGGTAACCAAAGTACGGTGATAGAGGAAATGCTTCAGCAAACCCGAGCGTCTGTTCACCATGGAGGTGCGGCTCAAAACGGCGTCTGTTCTCCATGTTAGGAGCGGCTGATCACCGTCCTAGTGCCAGCATGGGACTCTAAACAGAGCTGTGCACGATGGTCCCCCGGCGAGTTGGGGCAGGCCCAACAAGCCGCCTTGGAAAAAAAACATAAAGTTGCAAATACTGAAGAAAGAAATACGGATCGGAACAATCGGCACAGACCTACGCAACGAAATAAGGACTACAATTGGAAACTCGGCACATGGAACTGCAAATCGCTCGGCTTCCCGGGCTTCGATAGGTTAAACTATGACGAATTTCAACCACGCAACTTCGAAATCGTAGCACTGCAGGAACTTTGCTGGACGGGACAAAAGGTATGGAAAAGCGGGCTACTTTCTACCTGAGCTGTGTACCGCAGTGCGAACATAGATTCGGACCACTACCTAGTTGCAGTATGCATGCGCTCAAAACTCTCGACGGTGCATAACACCCGTCGAAGTCGAACGCCGCGACCCAACATTGAGCAACTACGGGACGCCGCAGCAGCTGGAAGTTGCACCACCCACGGAAGAGCAGCTTCTCTTGAAGATGGCTGGAGGGACATCCGTTCCGCCATAGGTAGTACTGCTGCAGCGGCACTAGGTACTGCAATCCCAGACCGAAGAAATGACTGGTTTGACGGCGAATACAAACTGTTAGTAGAGGAGAAGAATGGCAGCACGGGCGAGAATGCTGCAACACCGCACGAGATTGAATGTGGAGCGATACAGACAAGCGCGGAACAGACAAAACTCGGTTTTCCGAAGGAAGAAGCGTCAGCAGGAAGACCGAGATCGCGAGGCGATGGAAAATCTGTACCCCGTAAACGACACACGGAAGTTCTACGAGAAGCTAAATAGTTCGCGCAAAGACTACGTGCCGCAAGCCGATATGTTCAAGGACTTGGACGGTAACCTTCTCACGAACGAGTGTGAGGTGATTGAGAGGTGGAAGCAGTACTACGAGCAGCAGAAAACGAAGGTGGCACGGCAACAGACCTTGGAGCACGCGCAGAAGACAACAGGCTACCGGTCCCTGATCTTTAAGAAGTTCGGTCGGCTGAAGAACAACAAAGCAACTGGTGTAGATCAACTACCAAGTGAGCTATTAAAATACGGTGGTGATGCACTGGCTAGAGCGCTGCACTGGGTAATTGCCAAGATTTGGGAGTAGGAGATATTAGCGGAGGAGTGGATGGAAGGTGTCGTATGCCCAATCTACAAAAAGGACGACAAGTTGGATTGCTGCAACTACCGCGCGATCACACTGGTGAGCGCCGCCTACAAGGTACTCTCCCAAATTCTATGCCGCCGTCTGTCACCATTTGCAAGAGAGTTCGTGGGGCAATACCAGGCGGGATTCATGGGTGCCCGCGCTACCACGGACCAAATTTTCGCGATTCGGCATGCGACACAATCGATCGAGATCAGCTATGGCAGATTATGCACGAGTACGGATTCCCGGATAAACTGACGCGATTGGTCAAGGCGACGATGGATCGAGTGATGTGCGTTGTTCGAGTATCGGGAACACTCCCTTTGAATCTCGAAGGGTTACGGCAAGGTGATGGACTTTCGTGTCTGCTATTCAACATCGCGTTAGAAGGTGTGATCAGAAGAGCTGGGATAGACACGAGTGGCACGATCTTCAGGAAGTCCATCCAGCTTCTTGGCTTCGCCTATGACATTGACATCATGACACGGAACTTTGAGACGATGGCGGAAACGTACATCAGACTGAAGGCTGAAGCTAAAGCTAAAGCTGAAGACAAAATATATGAAAGGAAGAGGTTCTAGGGAAAACAATGTTAGCCTCCCATCCCGAGTTCTGATTACGGTGACGAAATCGAGGTGGTCGATGAGTTCGTGTACTTGGGCTCACTGGTGACCGCCGAAAATGTTACCAACAGATAAATTCAAAGACACATTATGGTAGGGAATCGTGCCTACTTTGAACTCCGGAGGACGCTCCGGTTGAATAAAATTCGCCAACGCACGAAGTTGACTGTCTACAAGACGCTGATTAGACCGGTGGTCCTCTACGGCCACAAGACCTGGAATATACTCATGGAGGACCAACGCGCCCTTGGTGTTTACTAACGGAAGGTGTTGCGTACCATCTACGGTGGAGTGCAGATGGGTGACGGAACGTGGAGGAGGCGAATGAACCACGAATTGCACCAGCTGCTAGGAGAACCATCCATCGTCCACATTGCAAAAATTGGGCGACTACGGTGGGCTGGGCACTTCGTAAGAATGCCGCACGACGACCCAGTGAAAATGGTTCTAAAAAGCGACCCAACAGGAACAAGAAGAAGAGGCGCGCAGGCGGGCAAGGTGGATCGACCAAGTAGAAGGCGACCTGCGTACCCTTCGCAGACTACGAGGCTGGGGAAGTGTGGCCATGGATCGAGTAGAGTGGAGACGACTTCTTCGGACAGCAGAGGACAACAAGGCCTTAGCCTGATTGCAAATATATTATATTAACAATATGATCCACTCTTTCGCTTAGCTTGCAAACCGAATTTTTAGCGATGAAAGCTCCTCTGCGGCCAAAAAGGCTACCAGTGTATTTGTTTATCGTCACGAGGGGTAAACCAAATGAAAATTTGTTTAATATTTCAAATGAATGTATTTCAGCATTTTATTTTATTTGATGACAACAGTGACATGTCAGACAAATTTTAAAGTAATATACACAATGTAATTAATGAAAATAATTTGACTCTTACTTCTATAATAAGTGATATGTTCGCACCCCTCGATTGTAATTGAATGATTGTTGCTGACCTTTTTCAACGCTAGATGGTGCATGAAGCAATATTTTGCGGGTCGCCATTGCACTATTTGGAAAAGGCATGAATGGATCATATTGTTAATATGATGTATTTGCTGATTGGTAAGGTAAGGTAAGGTAAGTATAACCAAATTGACAGATTGATGTATTTATATACCACTTGAAATCACTGAAGTGGGGTCGATTTTTGATGTTGGAGTTCCACAGTTGTGGTGAAATGTAACTATCGAAAATGACAGTACACTTTTCCTAAAAGGAAGAGCATACAAATGGCTTCTTTCTGTCTGTGACGTGTTCTTATTCTCTCGAGAAAAGGTGTTTGGTATTCATCTCTATATGTGCATGTGCAAATTTTGTTTGCTTCGGTGATTTTATTGAAGGTGATTCTGATTCTCGCGAAGGTGATTCTGATTCAAGAATGTTTCATGGAACAAGATGATTACAACAACGTAATCTAGTGTTAGGTAACGAGTAACCACGAGAACAGGTTTCGGACGATTCTGCTGTCGAAACATGCGGTGGTCACTGAACCAGGAAGTTTTGTAAAAAAATATCCAGAGATGTGTTTGGAGACCTATGAGCACCTGATGGTCTTTGCAATAATTACTGAGACAGCTGGTATCATGTGAGACGCTCTGAGAGACGTAATAATAATGTTGGACAGTTAAAGATTTTCAGAATAATAGATGATCATCCGGAAGTATTGAAAAAATATCCAAAGATTTTTTTGGAGATCTGATCTGATCACCTGAAGGTCTTTGAGAGACGCAAGTTCCAGATTAGATGGCAGTATGTAACCCAACAGCGACGGAACTTTCCAAACTGGATAACGTGGTGGATATCATGCGCTAAACCGAAAATTCTTTCTTTTTTTCGGTGGAAATCTCGCGACGTGTACAGGGAATTTCATGCTGAACACCAACGTTTGTATTCTAGGCGAGTAAGAGAGGTGCCACAGTCGGAAGAAGTGTTAGTTTGTTTACTAAAATGAACCGCCCATTTTGTTATAAGAAATGCTCCTCGTGTTTATTAGCGAAATTCACATCAAAGATTGATTAATTGCGTAGGAAATCAGTTTGGCACGGCATTTGTAACCAGCATACACCTTCCGGTCGTATGAAACATTTCAAAAACTGTCCAAATCCGCAGATAAAAAAATTTGTTTTGAATTTCTGTATGGCAAAATAGTGAACTTTTCGTGAACATTAACGGCACTGGGAGACAGTGAGTTCCTGCCCACCTGTCCTAAAAACATCTCGCGCCAGGGGGACCCTTTGTCTATGATACTGTTCGTCATCTACCTCCATCCGTTTCTGCAACAATTGGAGCGACTCGTCGGCCCCGATCTCGTGGTGGCTTACGCAGATGATGTGTCTGTTATAGTTCCCAATACACGCGTGATTGAGCGCATCAATGACCTGTTCGGACGTTTTGAACGTGCCGCCGGCGCAAAGCTCAACAGATTGAAAACTGTTGCAATCAACGTAGGGCTCATTGATGGAAATCCACTGAATGTGCCATGGTTGCAAACAGTAGAAACAGTGAAGATTCTTGGCATTTATTTCACTAACTCAATCCGCGCAATGACTAAGATTAATTGGGATGCTCAAGTTACCAAATTTGCTCAACATTAGTGGCTGCACTCGATGAGGGGACTTAACCTTCAACAGAAGGTTATTTTGCTAAATACCTATATCACGGCAAGGATTTGGTACGTGGCATCAATCCTTCCACCATATTGTGTCCACACAGCGAAAATCACAGCAACCATGGGTTCCTTCTTGTGGCGCGGCAAACCGGCGCGGGTTCCTATGGAACAATTGGCACGAGACAAAGCATCTGGCGGACTAAAGTTGCAGCTACCGGCACTCAAATGCAAAGCGCTTCTGGTGAACCGTCACGTACAGGATAGTGGCTCCCTTCCCTACTATCAGTCCCTTCTGAACCAAGCAATTCCTCCTCCCGCAGATCTTCAGAACACCCTCCAGCGACCAAATTCATCGTGTTCTTCTGGAGCGGACAGATACACCACGGGTCGAGAGAAAATATCCTGGATCAAACTGGAGACATATATGGACGAATATCGGGTCGAAACAACTGTCATCAAGCCATCGGAGCAGCTTGTATATGCTGATCAACGAGAAGACGGAGCATAGAAGGTTGATGAAGATCATCCAACGGGCAGACGGCGAGAGCTACGGTTAAAACATTGCAGCACAAGTTCAGCGTCTGCTCCCGCGTGGCGCACGCATGGGCTTCCATACAGCAGAGGACTACGACGATACTCGACGGCTGGCAAAGGCTGTCCATCGAGGATCTGCTTCGACCAGAACTTCTGAACATAGGGCTAAGAAAACGAAACGAAATTTTGAAAATCTTTGTATTGTACATCGACTATGTTAATTCTGTTAACGATATAATAGATGTTAGTGCCCTAAATTTTTACATCGCAGATCATTGCAGCAAAGGGCAAGAACGATGAGAACAAAAAGTTCACTTTTCCAATAGTAATTCCCATATAAACTTCAAAGGGCCAGTGCAGTATGAATTCACATCCAAATGAGCTCAAATTTTAATTTTATTCCCTGACGCTTTTGATGTTTTGAAACTATCTAAAAATATCTAAGATATCGGTGCTTGCTAAAAGTTCTCGCATTTTTTAATTAATGGAACTTCGTTGATGTTCTCTATTCAACTCGGCTAAATGTTAGCAATGGTTTTAAGTGCTTGAAACTTCCATAATTTTTATTGCGTTCCAGAAATTCTCTCGGAGCTTTGCTGAACTTTCCGGATATTCCCTTAATTTTTTCGAAACTTCTTAAAGGTTTTTGCAATTTTCTTGAAATTATTTGAATTGCCTTTTGATTCTCTGATCTATCTGGATGTTTTCGGAGCTTCCCTGAAGCTCTCAATTCTATGGAAGTTTGCGGGTTCTGCTGTGAAATAAATAGAATTCTCGTAAGCACCTTTAAACTTTTATGAAATTCTCTAGACTTCTGTGAAGCACATATTAATACATTGGTTAGCATAGAAAGCTCTCAATTAATAACTGTGGAAATCCAGCAAAGAACACTAAGTTGAGAGTAGCCGTAACGGCGTAAGCTCGTGCAAAAGAGCGAAAAACGAGCTTCGCTGGAAGAAGACATCAGAGTTTAGAAGACTTTTATAGATAAATCATGATCCCAACTTTTGTGTCACTTATGCCAACAATGCCCATATTACATCGCATCTCGCTAGTCGCTGGCTAATGTTTCTGTTTTTTGTTTGTCTCTTTATGCTCAGCTTAGTTCCTAGTCCGATACAAAGTTTTTTTTTTGAAGGCCAGTCCAACGAGTCCAACAGCAAGGCGTACGTGCAGCAGCAGGAGCACAGAGTTTGTAGCGACATCAAGAACCAACAAAACAAGAATTAGTAATCAGGTATTCCAATGCGCGAGGAATGTCGAGCGGAGCGCGGAAGAGCAACAAACTCCTCCCTCAAACGTAAACGTATTTTTATTTTTTTCGATAATACTTTTCTTTTGTTCCCATCAGACTCAGACAACTCTTGTTGTTTTGAATGCTTTTCTCGTTGCTTCGTTGCGCATAAAAATGCACCCAGATTAACCTGAATACGGAGAGTAATTGGTTTTTCACACTTACGGTTACGGGAGGCAGACGAAATGCTTCTCTTCGCGCTTTATCGGTGGCAAATCGCAGTCGCAAAATAACAATCGTACCACTCCGCAATCTTTTGAAAAAAATGATAGCACCACAAAAAAACCACACGATAATAAACAGCTGATGAAATAATTGTACGTTCTTTCCGTCTCAAAATGGTTTCTTCTGACGATGCAGGGAAGAGAACTGCTTTTTTCAACAAATTACACTTGTCTCAGCCAACGCACTTCACACCAATCAACACGGTGCACTTTCAATCCTTTCGAATGATATGATGTTTCACAGTTTTACCACCGATTTAATGGCAAATTTAAGCAAATTTCCGGTCCAAGAACTTTTTGCGACGATAGGAAAAACGGCTGCTTTTTTTTTTTTATTTTGCGATGCGATGTTTGTGTTTGTCTTCTTTGCGAATCGACACTCGCTGTTCTTTTTGCTTTGCTTTGTTTTCGCTTTTTGACATCGGTCGGACAAGATTTGACGTTTCCCATCGGATCGCAACAAGATCGCCCCGAATTTAGGTCAACTGGCGAGGGGCGCTCAAATGTGTACCATTCGGATTAATATTTCGGACACCTCACGCTAACTTGAAAGTACTCATTAATGAGTAAAAAAAGACCCATTTTGAAGAAAAGTGGCTTAACTCATTAATGATTAAACAATTTTACCCATTAATGAGTATCTGTTACCCATTATTGATTATCAATTACTCATTAATGGGTAACAGATACTCATTAATGGGTAAAAAATTTACTCATTTAATGAGTTAAGCCACTTTTCTTCAAAATGGGTCTTTTTCAACCATTAATGGATACTTTCAAGTTAGCGTGCTTCATGTTTCGGACTGTGTAAAATTCTAGATAGAGCTGGAATTAGGGCGAAACAGCTTTTGTAAACAATGACTTCTATCGATGATTTTTGGGTACTCAAGGCACGCCCACGCAGACCAACATAATCATCGGATAGTGGAAGTCTTTTCCTACCCGGAAGTCTTTTCCTATCCTAGGATGTTGGTTTGCGTGGGCGAGCCTTGATTTTCTAGAAATCATTGATAGAAGTCCAGAGCAAATTTTCATTATGTCGTAAGTAACATTCGCACCGATCCGAGAAAAATAAAGTTTTGTTTTGATGACAGAAAAGTTATTCCTATTTTCTATTAAACTCGTATGATCTCATAGTGATAGCAATGTTTAACATATATAGCAGGGTTCTAATCATACAAATGCAATTCGCTAGCTTTCATGTTAAAAAAATACTGGTTTTTAAGTCAAAAGTTATTATACGTCGTTTGGTGGCCCCTATTGTTACTTAAGTCAAAGTGTATTTACCAGGATATTCGGGAGAATTATCAATTACGTCTCCTTACGTGCAGCCCATTCATCATTTTAGGACCACCGAAATCATCTTAGCAACAAACAGTTCGATTTATTCACTTTAATAATGAGAAAGCGAAACGACGAACGTACACTTTTCACGGGTTTCTCAGCGCTGTTACTTAAGTCAAACGGCATCTCCATAGAAATCTGGTGACTTAAATAACATCGAAAACTATTTTGATCGGAAGGTGATTACGTCAAAAAGCAATTTGACTGGTAAATAAATTTAAAAATGGGATGTGATCCTATATTCGGACAGTATATAGTGTAATAGCAGGAGCATCGATTGACACTGATAGCTCGACTTTGTTTACCTTTGTTACTTTCGACGTAATGAAAATTTGCTCTTGAAGTCATTGTTTACAAAAGCTGTTAGGCCCTAATTCCAGCTCTATCTAGAATTATATTATATTGAAATACCTGTAATGTAATTTAATATAATGATGTAAACATTGAAAATTGTTCACGCTTGGTCCTTTAGTATGACAATAATTTTTATATTGTCGCGCTTATGTTAAATTCTCATTTGGTTAGGTCGAAACGCGCCGCTCATAAGCGCGATGCAACCAACAATCAATACGAAACTAACGATTTTAAATTGGCTCACTACTTGACTAGCCTATTGGTCCCAAGCAAACGATTAACTTATCCCATTCTAGTCGAAATTCTAGTACTACGCAATGTTTGTTTTGATTCGCTATGAAAGTTTGACAGATAAAATGAGGGGTTATTGGTTTTTCCTATGTTTAAAGGGGTGAATCGATTAGCTTGGGACAGAAGAGAGTACCAGAGCTGAGCCAAAAAGTTGAGCACGTTATTCCGGGACCTTCTAGTCTTAGAGTTACCTCTATGATGCAACCTTTATGCAACCCCGCCCATAAGGATTATACACAGGTGTGTAACTTTGATAGTATTTTATGGCAGCGGCTTGAGGATCGAATCCTGGATAAAGAGCCGCCGTGTGTTAATTCAATGGGTGCAGTCGTACGGCCATAAACAGAAAACAGATGGTATAATCAACAATCAATACGAAACTAACGATTTTAAATTGGCTCACCACTTGACTAGCCTATTGGTCCCAAGCAAACAATTAACGTACCCCATTTTAGTCGAAATTCTAGTACTACACAATGTTTGTTTTGATTCACTATGAAAATTTGACAGATAAAATGAGGGGTTAGTGGATTTTCCTATGTTTCGAGGGGTGAATCGATTAGCTTGGGACCAAAGAGAGTACCAGAGCTGAGCCAAAAAATTGAGCACGTTATTTCGGGACCTTCTAGTCTTAGAGTTACCTCTATGGTATAATCCCTTTTTGAGAAATTATCCTACCACACACAATAGTGTTACAAACACAACATTGCAATTATTAAAAATCGATAATCAGTTAAAGTTCTCACGGTCGGTCATTGATCTTGCGAGAATGAGTAGGAAGAAAGTGAAATTATTCCGGCAAGTAAAGATCATTCACTCCAAAGGAAGCGCAAAGAGAGAAAGTAATATCAACAATCAATACGAAACTAACGATTTAAATTGGCTCACCACTTTAGTAGCCTATTGGTCCCAAGCAAACGATTAACGTACCCTATTCTAGTTGAAATTCTATTACTACACTATGTTTGTTTTGATTCGCTATGAAAGTTTGACAGATAACATCAGGGGTGTGTGGATTCATGCAGAACATGCAGGGGTGAGTGAAATAGCTTGGGACTGCTTGGGACCGTTGTTCTGGTACTGAGTGAGCCAAAAATAATAATGATTTTCTTCGGGACCCAGTGGTCTTAGAGTTACCTCTATGATTATACCATCTGTTTTCTGTTTATGGCCGTACGACCATAGAGGTAACTCTAAGACAAGTAGGTCCCGAAGAAACGTGCTCAACTTTTTGGCTCACCTCTGGTACTATCTTCGGTCCCAAGCTTGTCGAATCACCCCTCGAAACATAGGAAAAACCAATAACCCCTCATTTTATCTGTCAAACTTTCATAGCGAATCAAAACAAACATTGCGTAGTACTAGAATTTCGACTAGAATAGGGTACGTTAATCGTTTGCTTGGGACCAATAGGCTAGTCAAGTAGTGAGCCAATTTAAAATCGTTAGTTTCGTATTGATTGTTGGTACGACTGCGCCCATTGAATTAACACACGGCGGCTCTGTATCCAGGATTCACTTCTCAAGCCGCTGCCATAAAATACTATCAAAGTTATACCAAAGATGAAACTGTCGGAAGAAAAACTTTCTATTTTAGTGTCTTCTTTCACGGTCCCTTTCATCCAATGAGAGCCCCCCGTATTCAAGGTAATTTTGTGGTTTTGCAGTTTTGCTGCCCCCTCGGAAGAGATGAAATTTTGCGCTCATTTTTATCAAAACAATCACACCAAAATCAGAGGTGTCCCATTTTTAATTACTCGATTAACAACTAATCGATTATTTTTTGTTCGCTGTGCTGCCATTTTTCCACCAATGAGAGTGCAGCACATGTTTGAAACGATCGGTGATGATCCTGTGGAGATGTTAATGCTTATATCGGCATGATCTAACCGACTATAAATAGTTTACTTTTCGGTTCGTTAATCGATTAAACGATTATTCGAATGAAAATCGGACATCACTAGATGAATGTGAAACGTCATTTCAAATATAAGGCCGTTCATAAATAATGATACAATTTGAAAGGGACCGGGGCTAATCACAAATTACGTCTCCATGGTAACTGAAATAAACACGAGTGTTCACCGGTTGGTTATACACCTGTGTATAATCCTTATGTTCGGGGTTGCATATGGTTGCATCGCGCATTGCATAGGAAAATCCACGAACCCCTCATTTTATCTGTCAAACTTTCATAGCGAATCAAAACAAACATAGTGTAGTACTAGAATTTCGACCAGAATGGGGTACATTAATCGATTTGTTTGGGACCGACAGGCTAGTCAAGTAGTGAGCCAATTTAAAATCGTTAGTTTCCACTAGAAATACTCAGAGGGAGAGATGGGCGGAGAGAATGTTTTGGGCCAAATGAACTGTCAAAATCAGAGCCAATCGAACATTCCAATTAGATTTTTTCGATGATTTCTTATTCTTACTAGAATAAATTTGAGAGTATTGCAATCGAACAGAAATTTAATCAACTTTATGTTTTGTGTGCTTCTCAAATTCAACTAGTTTATGGAACCAAAAACAATATTCTAACTCTATTGATTAATTGATCTTCGTTGGTTAATGAATGGCACCAAGAAATGTGCAAAATATTGCCATGCAATCAATTATTATTTTGCACGTAAACCGAATCAAAAATAAAAGTCATTTGAAATGCTAGCTTCTCGCAAGGGTTGCAAGATTATTTAGGAACAAATCCCTGCTGCCGAATTGTATTTTATTTTCTCCGCCTATTTCTCCCTCTGAGTATTTCTAGTTTCCACCGTTCAGTTCTACCATAGAGGTAACTCTAAGACCAGAAGGTCCCGAAGAAACGAGCTGAACTTTTTGGCTCAGCTCTGGTACTATCTTCGGTCCCAAGCTAATCGATGCGCCCCTCGAAACATAGAAAAATCCAGTAACCCCTAATTTTATCTGTCAAACTTTCATAGCAAATCAAAACAAACATAGTGTAGTACTAGAATTTATACTAGAATGGGATACGTTAATCGATTTGCTTGGGACCAGTAGGCTAGTCAAGTAATGAGCCAATTTAAAATCGTTAGTTTCGTATTGATTGTTGGTTCTACCATGTTCTACGGCGCCTAGGCACAAACTCTTCTAACATTTTAATAATTCAGTGTCAACATTTCAAATGGCCGTAATTGGTTTTGTAAACAATGGCTTTAGCCGTCGATTTCTCGCGAATAAAATCTCACACATGGAAATAAATAACACCAACAGGTAGCGGAAAGAGTTAAGAACTAAATGATCAACATATTTGTTCCGTCCACTAGCGGTCCTACGTCAAGTTTCCGTTCGTGCCCCTAGGCACAGACCACAGAACAGAAGGGGAAGTGCAAACAAATCGGTGAATCAAAAAGTGTTCGTTTTTCTGCTCAACAAGCGATGTGTTGTGGAAGCGTTCCACACGGGCTTTCTATGTACACTCCTAGGTGCACTCACACTATCATAGCATGCTGCCTATCTTAACTGCAGGCAGAAGATGCCTTCTACCGCTAGGTGCGCTAGTGTTCGCAAATGACAAGTGGAGCCACTTTCTGATCCGAAGTTCCACTCCTGTGCACAGACCCTTCTACTTTTTTAGATACGAAACATTGATACATAAATACGTTCCAGACCCATGTCCATGTTCTTGGATCATTAAAAAATAACTTTTTCCCTGGATTTTAATTGTTCAAGTTTAAGACTTATAAAATAAATATTTGTTTCACTTTCCCACATGTTTGGTGATATCATAATAGGGGAAATGACGGCTTCGGCATGCCAGACTATTTTCGGCAACCCAAATTGAAACACTATTTTCACTGGATTTTCTTGCGAAAACACTTCGCATGCATTCAGCAAACGATTCTTTATGCTTTCAGCTTTAATTTGACTATACTTTTACCACTGAGAAAAAGCAATCTAGCAAGGTTTTCTTGAAATGAAACACACGCACTACAAATTGTAGCTGATTTCGAGTTGCCGATAATAGAACAGTAGATTTACATGCAGTTCAAATGGAACGGTTGCCGAAGAAAAACTGGTTGCCGACAATACTCGCTCTCACTAGAGAAGATTGGAGCTTTGTAAAAGCGTTTCAAAACAGTTTTTGACAATTCTTTCGACTGAAATTGTTAGAGCAGCTGGCAGCAAAAGATTGTAAACAACAGAGCTGCCAGGTGGTTTTATAAAAAATCTGTATCCACTCTATTAAAAAATCTGTATTTTCTGTATTGACGATTTTTTTTCTTAATTAATCATGTTTTGTTGTTTTACAAATACAGTGCATACAAAATAACCATAAAAAGTGCTTAACCACCTATTCGGGCTATCGTACTAACCATACGGGATATAATTGCGCCATTTGTGATATCGTCCGTACTTATTTATAAGAGTGATATGAAGCCGTTTGAAAATGTATGGAGATTTTAGTTTCTATTCATTATCTTCCTGATAAGCAGTTTTAAATGCAAAAAAGTGCACGAGTTCATTACTATTTGATATTTTTAATATAGATGAATACAATTAATTACATCATTTGTTTGGTAGTTACACCGAAAAGTCGAGAGATGTTGCCCCGCCAGTGCTGGTAAAATCATTTTTGCAGTATGGAGAAAAGCGGTTGGTCCTCTGGTTGTGAATGCTGTCAAAAACACCATAACATTCATTTTATAAAAATCTGTATAAATCTGTATTGTAATTTAAAATTCTGTGATAAATCTGTATTCTGTATCGGGTCTGTATTAAGATTAAAAAATCTGTATAATACAGATAAATCTGTATAAATGGCAGCGCTGGTAAACAAACCAATACTGCATATGTGTGCGTTCCTTACAGAAAAGGGCTATAGAAAGAAGGTCACTGCTTAGGTTGCCGAGAATACGTAAATTCCCCTATGTAGCGTTTAATGCATTTATTAATAGATTCCCTGATTTCCCAGGTTTTTCTCAGGTAGTCGACACCCTGTCCTTCCGTTCGCATTGAAAAGTACTACCGGCTACTTACTGCGACTGAATGGGCCATTTATTTTCCGAAATCAAGAACCCGCTGGTACCCGTTTACGGTCTATTTATTCAGGAAGGAAATACATTGAGATAGCAATTATGGTTATATTAAATGTAGCATATTAAGATATTTAATAGTCAAATTGATATACTTGTTCTTGTGCATCATCCTAATCGTCATGGACAATGGCCTTTTTCTCGGCGTCCTTCTTGCTGGATTTCTTCTTCTTGGCCGGTGTTTTCTCCGGTTTCTCAGGCTTCTCCGGAGTTTCATTTTCTCCTGGATGCGGTCCGGAAGTGGGGCCAACCGGTGGTTGTGGGGGTCCACCCGGTGCTGGCCCTCCGGCTCCAGCATTTGGAGGCGGAGCACCTCCTTGAGTAGGCCCCGGACCGTATGGTGAGTGCGGATGATGACCTTCGCTGTTTGGTCCACCATGGCCATGCGGATCAGCGCCGTAGTGGCCCATTGGTCCGCCATGACCGGGGCGTGGTGGTCCTGGCATGTACTGACCGGGCGGAGGAGGAGCGTACTGCTGATGGTAAGGATAGTGCCCATACTGACCGTAGGATTGAGGGTGAGCTCCGTAGCCGCTCGGGAGATAGTATGGGCGTGGGGGCCCAGCGTGTGGATATCCCGGATAACCCGAGTGGGATGGCATTCCTGGGTGCGGTTGCATGTGCGGCGGCATATGATGATTTGGTGGTGGCGGAGGAGGTGCCTGGTGATGGGGAACGGTTACGTTCGGAGGTGGAACGTGTGATTCAGCGCTGTGTGGTGGGTTCGATGGATAAGAAACTGATGGGGCAGAAGTCGGCACCAGTGGAACATGGTGATGTGGAGGAGGTGGAGGCGTAGGAGCAGCAGAAGCCGGTGGCGGAGCAATTGGAACTGCAGGCGATGGAATTTCTGGTTTTTGTTCCGGAACGACCGGTGACTGTGCTGGCGGAGCACGGTAAGGTTCTAGAAACATAAAGAAATATTATAATCAGTTCTAAAGGCTACCTTATTTCAACTTACCCGGCGTTGGAACAACCGTGGATGGCACCGAAACTGGTGGTGCCTGCTCTAAAGCTGGTGGTGGCTTATGCTCTACGGTTGCTTCCTTAACAATTTCCTCTGGCTGTTTGGAAACCTGTGCAACTGGTTTAACTGGCTGCTCATCGATTTGCATCTGTTCTTCCTTTTCGTCTTTCTTCGCGGGTGCAGCAGTTGCCTCTTGAGGTGACTTCTCCGGAGTGTCCTGCACTGGACGAGATTCTGGTGAAGCAACTGCGGCTTCTGGTGCCGCCACTGCAACGCTCTGTCCGATTTGTTCCACTGGTTTTGGCCCAGGCAAACCTTTCTGCTGTTCCTCAACGGTACGCAGACGTTCCCGTTTCAACATCTCATACTGACGTTCAACCATCTTCTGGAAAGTCTCGTCATCGACGGCCGGCTTGCAATGTTTCTTCAGTTCCTCCTGGAACTGCTCGCTCGATTCCACAAATTTACGTTTCCGATTATCAAACTTCTCCTCAATAAGTTGCAGTTCGTGTTGCAATTTCATCTGATGCATAGCTAGCGATTGAACCTGCCTCTTCAGAACGTGCATTCTTTGAGTAGTCACTACCGAGCGAACATCCGGTACAACTGCATCCGAAAATATCTCATTAATCAAACGATGGTTCCGGGAAAACCTAGCATAAGCAACATGCTTAAACGAATAACCATCATCCTGGTCTTCCTCGTCCTCTGCCGGCTGAATATCAATCCTACGATCTTGCTGTCCACCCTTTGAACTGGACCTCGGATTCTCATGCCCGTCCCCATCGCCACCGGGCTTCGATTTGTTTTTAGCCGTTAGATAAGCCAAATAAGCTGGTGAACTATGATAAGCCTTCAAATTCTTCTCGTACTCCACCTTCTCCGCCTCGTACTCCGTAATGTACTCTTCCTTGTCGCTCTCAGGTAAATCACGCCATTGCTGCCCGATAATCTTACCCACTTCCCATAGCTTCAGGTCCGAATTGGATGCCTTAATCGAGTCCCACACTTTCCGCGAGTATCGCATATATGGCATAAGCGGTTTCTCCGGCGCCTTCGGGGGCTTTAAGATCTTCGCCTCGGCCGTCGTGGCCGATTTGCCAAGCTTCTGCGGAGTGAAAGCCGGATTACCATGCGGGCTGTGCATAAACGGGTTGGAGTTGTCCTGTTTGCGGCTTTCCGAGCCGGATCCCGAGGGGCGCAGTCGTTGCGTTGTTGGGGTCGATACCGGTACATGTTGTTTGTAGTTTGTTGGGAGCGCCATTTTGGATTCCTTCTTTGACGTGTAAATACTGCTGGAAGAAAAATCGATTTTCCAGATGATTTTGCTTATTTTTGATGGAAATTTCACTTACCCGTGCTAGAAAGGATAATGAACTCCCTGGTTTTTTCAACTTTATACGGATTAACACCGATTTTCACGATTAATTTTGTTTAAAAGCCATTTGTTGACAAGAAAGCCAACCAGGAGATGCTTCACTTTTTCACTGACAGATGCAAGGTCTGTCTGTTTGTGCAAGGTGTTGTCAATTAAGTGTCAAGCTACATGAAAACCCTGATAAAGTGAACTGGCGAATATGTTATCGAAAAGGTGATGGCTATTAGGTCGATTGAAGACGGGGTGCACGGTAACCAGCGTAACACATTAATGTGCAAAATTTCACACATTTCGTGAAAAAAGGGGCCTTCACAGAAAAAAAAGTTGTTGAATATTACATCCAAACTTCTGCAACCAGATCAATCCATCGGTTGTGTAATATAACGTTGTACGATGTACATCGTTTTTGTGAACAAAATTACATCCATTGATGTAATATTGTATCTGCTTTTTGCTATTACATCATTATTTCATACATCAGCTTGAATTACATTGATCGATATTACATTTTTTTTGCTGTGTAGGTTCTCACCTGCGGCATCCCAATCACGGCCTCTCCAATTAATTGCAAATGCACCCTTTGCTTGATCTTTCTTCTCGGGTGGCACGTACCCATTCGTCTTCCTCCTGCAGTGAGAAGACCAATGCCCGTGTCAAGAATTAATTTCGGACAAGTTACCCTGAACGGTAGCCGCTACTGATTAATATTGGATCTCTACAGTTGCGAAACGCTTATGAAACTCTATTACTGATTCTAACGCAGCAAGTCAGTGGTATAGCTGGCGGTCCTTTCCATGTCTTACTCTGATATCTGGTGCTCTGGACTGCGGTCATTTTAGCTCCAAATAATCCTCCCGCCGGTTGTGCTATTTCTTTAAGGTTCTACAAAGGGTCATTATTTTGTTTACTTCTTCTTTTTGAAATATTCTTCGATCATCATTTTCTAAATGTATTGGTAAAATTCATTGGAAGTGCATGTCCCAACGCCAAAACTGCTAATTTTTCATAAATATCAACTGGTATGGTGAGGAACACTTAACCATCTCTTTTCTTCCTTCATTTCAATATTGTGTGTGGCAGGATAATTTTTCAAAAAGGGATTATACCATCTGTTTTCTGTTTATGGCCGTACGACTGCGCCCATTGAATTAACACACGGCGGCTCTTTATCCAGGATTCGCTCCTCAAGCCGCTGCCATAAAATACTATCAAAGTTACACACCTGTGTATAATCCTTATGGGCGGGGTTGCATCGCGCTTATGAGCGGCGCGTTTCGACCGTAACCAAATGAGAATTTAACATAAGCGCGACAATACAACAGCAAATGTGATGTCACACTATCTAGTGGATAAGAATGTAGCAGACAAAACATTCACACTGCCAGACTGCGCTTGTTTACACCCCTGAGCGGGAAAGTGAATACCAGGCTACGTGCATTGCTGCCATCAACCCTGTTAGCAACCGGTTAACACTCGTGTTTATTTCAGTTACCATGGAGACGTAATTTGTGATTAGCCCCGGTCCCTTTCAAATTGTATCATTATTTATGAACGGCCTTATATTTGAAATGACGTTTCACGGAGATGAAAAACTACCCAAAATTAAGTACTTTTGGCTCAATTCCGGGGTTCAGCCCAATAACCCAAATTTGAGTAAATCGCATATAGTAGTTTCCATTTAACACCAGCAAAAAATTACCTACTCTTAAGTATATTCTACCCAAAATTAGGTTTAATTCACGTAAATTTGAGAATAAGCAATTTACTCAAAAGTAACTTATTGGGCTGAACTATATCGTTGGGTCGAATCTCTCGTTCCTTTTTTGACAACAATAACGAGTGCAAGTGAGAGGCTGAAGTCAATATTAAGTAAAAAGAACTCAAATTTTGGGTTGTATTTTTTCTCCGTGTTCACATTCATCTAGTGATGTCCGATTTTCATTCGAATAATCGTTTAATCGATTAACGAACCGAAAAGTAAACTATTTATAATCGGTTAGATCATGCCGATATAAGCATTAACATCTCCACAGGATCATCACCGATCGTTTCAAACATGTGTTGCACTCTCATTGGTGGAAAAATGGCAGCACAGCGAACAAAAAATAATCGATTAGTTGTTAATCGAGTAATTAAAAAATGGGACATCTCTGATTTTGGTGTGATTGTTTTGATAAAAATGAGCGCAAAATTTCATCTCTTCCGAGGGGGCAGCAAAACCACAAAATTACCTTGAATACGGGGGGTTCTCATTGGATGAAAGGGACCGTGAAAGAAGACACTAAAATAGAAAGTTTTTCTTCCGACAGTTTCATCTTAGTATTCATCTTTGCTGTTACACACAAAGAACAAAAATTGTTCCTATAAAAATAATGAAATTTCAATTTAAAAGTTTCTCCAATTTCGTAGTTTTAACAACGGAACTATTCAAAATCAAAACATTTTTTTCGGATTAAAAGTGTTTCTTTAAATTTCAACTTGTATTTTCAAAAGTTAATTTTTTAAAATAAAAGTCGCAGATCTTTCAAAACTTCCTCGAGATTGCGAAGATTTTGGCATCACTTGACCTTCGTTTGCCGCTTAATTTGAAAGCGTGAAAAATAAACCATATTGCTGTGTTTTCTACGTTTCCACATTACTCTCCCGTCGGTATCTCTTTCGGACTGGAATCGGTTCCCAAAAAGTGGTACGCCACCGCTAATTCATTTTCATCGGATTGCAGGTGATCGTCAAAGCAGCCAACGGAGGGAAGCAATGTTAGATGAAACATAAACTCTATCATAACATGGAGACAATGATGGCGTGCTGGAATTGACGGTAATTTGGTATAATTTTCAATGAATTTCCGATTGTTCTAATTGAGATGTTTTAATTTTCATCAGCCTCAGTCTTGCCGGAAAGGAAGGTTAGGGTACGGCCAGGGTAGACGCGATTCGCGACGCGACGCGACCAATTCAAAAGAACCTTATTATTTATTATTATTCCTTGCGTGAGTCGCATCGCATCGCGTCGCGTGTTGCGTCTACCCTGGCCACGGCCTTACTCCCACCTCGATTCCCACCCCCATCAAGATGCCACTTTCATTCAAGTACCCCCACACCGAGTCCGTCAGGAGTAAATTATTCCAGCTTTGATCAACAATCTTTAAAATAATACAATTCATACTGTAAAAGCATCGGGAGCGTCACTTCTGCTGCTTTGTAATGGACAATATAATTATTATAAAAACATAAATTAGAATAAAAGGAATTTCCCTGGTTATTTCTTTAAAAAAATAAAAGTAATTGATTTAAATTTTATTCAAATTTAAGATAAAAACGTATGTAATTGCTAATGCTTATCATTTGAATTAAAATTTGTTATACGTCAATTTAAAAACTATAGGTTTTCAGTTTGACAGTTCTACAATTCGATTTGAAAGTTTCAACTTTTAAAAGTAGAAAGAGAGCTACTTTTGAATTGACAGTTAGGGGACTTTAGTTTTGAATGCTAAATACTTTCTACCAAAAAGAACCAACGCTAACTTTTAATTTTACCAATGGTTTTTTTAAATTTATTAACGATTATTTTTTGTGTGTAGTGTTGAATTCAATTTTCTGTTACTTTTTTAATTGGACCGGTAAAATGTCTAAAATGGTCATTTATGTTTTATTTTATCAGTTTTTGATATTTATCCACCATTAAATACATCCACTCATCTATGTTAATGAGGCAGACTTCGCAATTAATTGTTTTAATAAACTTAAATTCATTGCTAGAGGCAATACATCTGGCGCCGCTGTTTCAATGATACTTTCACGATTGCTAGCAAAGCAATAAAGTAGAAATGGTTTTCTTTGTGATAAATTTTGTTCACCAAGAGTTTTGTGAAGCAGTCGTTTTGAGTTTCGTGTATTCGATTGCGTTTAATTGTGCTATACTTCGAAGAACACAAGTAAGTAAATACAGTGAATGTGTTTTCCCAGGAAATTTTCGATCTAAGATCACGAAATACATGTTTTAAATTTTCGTATTCATAATATATGAATGTATGTGTAAACTAATGGTGATGATTTTTTGATATTTAAAAAAGAAGTAGAACACTAAATTACTTACCCTTTGTAGAACCTTAAACAAACAACAGCAGGGGGTCTGTCATTTTCAGCGTTATGTTGTGATTGAGGATATGGTTGCCAGTAAATTTATTTTTTCTGTTGAAGTTTTGACAACTCCGTAAATACGATGAATCACCCAGAATCACCCTTCCGACACCTAAAAACACACATGAAAAACAATAAGCTAAAACACAAGGTGGCAGAGCGACTTACCCCCTGGTCATTTTTAAATCGTTAGTTTCCACCGGTTTGTTACAACAAGCACTTGTTTGAACATTTTTCAGGTTCTATAATTGTTTTTGACTCCCAAAAGCTCCGTTATCGACTTTAAATCTTTCTCTGCTGAATGAAAGTCATCCGATGCTAACTCAAAAAATCTGGTTGCCAATTACTCTGACCAGGGGGTAAGTTTGACTCTGACCTTCTTACACAGCAAAAAAAAATGTAATATCGATCAATGTAATTCAAGCTGATGTACACACTTAATTTTTTTCGCCGAGATTCCAACAGCCGAGTAATTCTGCAATTTATTTTGCTGAGATTCAGTCAAACAATTACCGAGATTCAGCTAACAAATAACATTTTGCTGAGATATCAGCTAACAAACTGATATTTTGCAGAGATATCAGCAAAAGTAAATGCCGAAGTAATTGGCTGTTGGAGATTTTACCGAGCTAGATTAAGTGTGTATGAAATAATGATGTAATAGCAAAAAGCAGATACAATATTACATCAAAGAATGTAATTTACAACCGATGGATTGACCTGGTTGGAGCAATATTCAACAACTTTTTTTTTCTGTGTAACTCGCTTCTTAAGACTCTGCACGCTATTTCAAAACTCCCAAATTTGGGAAGAATCCACCCAGATCGGTCAAAACTGAACCTACCAAAAAATGGGTAAACTGTGTTGGGAGCTAGGGGAAGGACAGCTCCAAATATCAGTATAAATACCGATGGTGGAAATATTAAATATTTTAATATGTGTGATATTTGCGAATCTTATACTTAGTCTGACAGTTGTTTTTTGTTTGTTTTTGACTATTTTTGTTTTGAGTGTACATTTGACATTCGTTTAATCAAAAATGTATTTCACACGAGAGGCAAGTCATCCCTTTGTGATCTTACTGGCCACCGCCACCAAAATCCACTCCTTGTTCTCATAAATTCGGCATTTTTTGGTAGCTGTTCTCAGTGCACATAATCGGCCGCACTTCCATTCCCAGGAATTAATTTCCACGAATTCTTCATCGTCACCAATGTGTTGTTCTCCTATGGAACGGGAATCGATTGACAACGCCGCCCATGTTAACGGAAGCCCAGAGTGATGGTCCCGTGGTCGTATTACGCTCGATTCGCCATGAAAATGCAACTTGGAGAGATTTGTTGCTGGGGGAACGTCCAGTACCGTTTTTATCATGAAAAGCCGAAGTCGAAATCGATCAGAGCTATCGAAAACGAAAATCTAGGCAAAAATTATGACAAACAGAAAACTGCAGTAAACATAAACAACAACGGTGCAACGTCATTGAGTGTATGCGTTAAAGTTACACTGTTATTTGTTTTTTACTTTGAAGCTTTCCGCTTGACAGTTAATATAATTAATATTTATACTAAAAAGTATAATATCTACCTATTTGAGCAATTTTTACATCAAATATTACTTCAGATCAAGTTGTACTTCCCCTAGGTTGGGAGTGACAAGTTGACAAATGAACAACATTGACATGAATCCGATCCAAGACGGTTTTATGACAGGTGGGCAGGAACTCACGGTCTCCTCGTGTTGATGAGTTCTTTGCCGTTAATGTTCATGAAAAGTTCACTATTTTGCTATACAGAAATTCAAAACAAAAATTTTTATCTGCGGATTTGAACAGTTTTTGACCTGTTTCATACTACCGGAAGGTGTATGCTGGTCACAAATGCCGTGCCAAACTGATTTCCTACTCAATTAATCAATCTTTGATGTGAAATTCGCTAATAAACACGAGGCGCATTTCTTACAGCAAACATGCCATAACAAAATGGGCATGGTTCATTTTAGTAAACAAACTAACACTTCTTCCGGCTGTGGCACCTATGTATTAGGCGCCGAGAATCCGATCGACGTTGTTCATTTGTCAACTTGTCACTCCCAACACAGTTTAACCATTTTTGGGTAGTTTTGAAATAGAGTGTAACGAAAAATAAATCACAAACAGTGCTGGTTGTTCGCAATATTTTCTCTTGGTGGAACTCGCACCACCGCCTAACGTCTGATTATTTTTTCCTCAATTACCGTCCACTCCCTCGTGCGGCTCGTGGTTTGTTTTGATGAATTTTCGCGCGCGCAACCAACTGATTCGCAATCGATTTTTTCCGCACATCGGCCGCCCATCGTCAGGCTGTAAGGATTAAAATTCCACTGCATCAGCTGATGATCCCGATAGAGGAAGCCTCGGTAAGCCAGATTTCCGTTAATCATGGAAGATCCTGTGTTTAAAACCAAGTACCAAAAGTACAAGTACAAAGTGAAGCTGTGGGAAAAGGAATTTCGAAAGCGAAATGGACGGATTCCTTCGAAGGTGAGTTTTGTTGGTGTGGAATGTAACGAAAAACATAACAACCGTAATCTGTTTGCAGCACGACATTCGGGACTCCCCGGCGGAGGTGCGTGATTCGTACAAGATGTATTACAAGCTGAAGACGTCTCTTCTGGAGAACACCCTGCATGATGCGTTGGATGACGATGACGATTTCGATAGCTCGTTGGTGTCGCAAATGGAAGGTAGTTTGTCGCAGGATTGTTCCATCGGTGAGTTCTCCAATCTGGGTGAAATTAAAGCATCCAATGTGTCAATCAGTGCTCTTCTGACGGATCAGATTGAAGGAAAAGTTACCGAGTTTGAAGCGGAACAGTTATCGGAACAAAATGCTAACGCTTGGGGAAAGGATCTCACCAGGAGAAAGCCTGTTGTTGAGCAGGTAAAGGAGAAATCATCGGTGAAACCAAAGGCGAGAGCCCCTACGAAGCTGCTGATGGAAGCTTCTGCTATGGTTCCGAAGCGGAACCCCCGTAAATCTCTGTCTAGCAGTCGGCTATCGTCGAGTAGTTCGTTGTCCGCATCGTTTTTGAGTTCAACCACCGTGTCCAGCTGGAAAGATTCTCTACCAGATTTGGAAACGCTTCTGAATGAGAAATCCAAACAAGCAGCCGTAGAAGTTTCACCGTCTCAATCTGCTGCCTGCAAAGTTATCCAAGAAGCGAAAGAACTGGTGAATCAGTTGGACGAAGGATGGCTAAATCGCCAATCGGGAGAAGCCGGGGTTTGCACACCTGTGCGGAATAGCAGTTCTCAGGCCAAAACATTTGGCTTGAGGAATGTCAATCTGTCCGCTTTGGACTCTCCTGTTGGGAAGGTAGATTCATGCAGTAGCTTCGGTATGTCATCGCTCAGTGTGAATTCCTTTGTTGACGAGGGGATAGGGTCCGAGTTTGAAGCGAGATCGAACCCGCAGATCGTAGTCGCTCAGAGCACTGCGTATGATCTTGCAATTCAGTCCGATTCCGATGGGGTGGTGGAGAATAGCGAGGATGAAACGACAGGCAGTGTTAATGGATCATTCAACTCTGGGCGGGTTCGGCATGTCGCGAAGAAGCGGAAGGTGTTTACCAGTGTGAATTTTAAAGCGGAAGCTAAATGTTCTGAAGGGGATGTGGTGAAAAAGGATTTGCAGGTACTGGCAGCTTCCACCGTGGTTGAAGGTGGGGTGGAAAATCAAGATCCGACGAAAGGTAGCGAATCTCTGGAGGATGCAGAGCCGAAGCCAAAACGGGGACGGAAGAAGGCTCCTGCAAAGCCTAAAGCAGCGAGCAAAGCACGAGTGACGAAGGTGAGAATATTTATCTTAAAGAAAAATGAGTTAATATCTGAGTGCATTCCATGTCTTGTCTTTTCAGGCTCCAGTTCGGCGGACTACACGAGGTCGTAAACCTGTTCAGTACTCGCAACAGGTTGGCAGTGAAGAGGAAACCGGTGACTTTGATCCGGACGATGAGGACAAAGATCCGGATTTCAAAGAAAGCTCTAAAGATCATTCTACATTTGAGGATTTGCAACAGGTTAAGAGTCCTCCAAAAGCTAAGGCCAATGTTCCCGTGGTTAAATCTAGGAAAAAAGCCGAACCAAGACCAGCTCGCAAGTCTGCAGCTAAGCAAGTCTCGCCATCCTCGGGTGGTGAGCGAAAGCGACGATCAGGCAGTTTCAAGAAGAGCCCGGTAGCACCGAGGATCGGTGGCAATACGGGTAAGGGAAAGAAGAGAGTCACGAGACAAACAAGTGTTAAGGATCATCCGAAGGACGAACCAGTGAAAGAGGACGAGTTCGACGATTACGTGCTGGAGTTTGGCATAGAGAGCTTGAACAATGCTCCCAGGGTGGACATTGGGGAGCTGAAGAAAAGTACCCAAGTGGTGGAAAACTTTATTCAAGGCGTTCCTATGAACAATTTCAAGACGAAGAGAGCGGTAGAAGGCGTCAAGATTGAAACTACCAAGGAAGCGGTGTTGAGGAAGAAAGCCGCAGCCGGTAAACTGAACGAGAACTTTGTGCGAATTGATCTCCGGAAGAAGGTCTTTGTACGGGGGAAGAAAACGGTGAACTACAGCAAGTACAAGAAGAGCCTGTGGAAGAAAAAGAAGGCTGCTGCTTTGAGCGGGCCGGAAATGGACATGGGAGGATGCGACGGTGGTGTGTTGACCTGCTTCCAGTGTGGTGGGGTCGGTCACATGGCACGAAGTTGTAAGGTGAAAGGGGAACAATTGCTGCCTTTGGATGCAGACGGTGGAGCGGAAGAATCGTCGTTTCCAACGTTGGATGAAGCAGAATGTATGGCAAAGGCGCAGTCACTGGCCGTCCATGCCAACAAAATCGAAAAGCTTCCTGCGGTGAGTAACCCGCTGTGGAAGCTAGACGAGGCAGAATCTCCTTCAAATCCAGAAGCGAACAGTGAATACAAAGATCTCCCGGAGGAACCAGTACCGGACTATATCGGTCATGCAATCCCGCAGGACTTCCTGAAGAAGTCCGGCATCCTGGAGTACACCGTTGGCAACAAGGACAAAGTCGGTCCTCTCTATCAGATGAACTCGGATGGATCTCTACCGCCGACACCGAAGGAAGTACAGGAAGCGCTGAAAATGTTCGGTCATCAGCAGTTCCGTGCCGGTCAGGAGCGCGCAGTTATGCGGATTCTCTGCGGAATGTCTACCCTGGTCACATTGAGCACGGGATCCGGTAAATCCTTGTGCTACCAACTACCCGCTTATCTCTACAGGAAGCACCGAAAGTGCATCACTCTAGTCATTTCACCGCTCGTTTCGTTGATGGAGGATCAGGTTCATGGGGTTCCTGATTTCCTGAATGCACAGTGTCTCCACACGAATCAGTCCCCCAAGTAGGCGTCAGGTTGGGTGAGAAATCGGTTAGGAAATTAATCATGATCTCCTGTTTTCTTCTGACAGGGTTCGAGCGAAGACGATGGCAGCCATCACCGATGGGGAGTTGGACGTGTTGCTTATTTCTCCGGAAGCGGTCGTATCCGGTGAGAAGTCTACTGGTTTCGGTTCACTGCTACGTCAACTGCCTCCGATAGCATTTGCCTGTATCGATGAGGCGCACTGCGTGTCCCAGTGGAGTCACAACTTCCGGCCGAGCTATCTGATGATCTGTCGGGTGAGTAACAGATGTTCTCTTCTAGTACACGTTGAAGTCTCCCTCTTGCTACTCTAGTATATGTTGAAGTCTCCCTCTAGCAAGTCTTGCTAGATCATAAAGTACCATTTGCAAATGCGTCTCTATCGTTGCCGCAGTCTGGTACAAAGTAACGTTCGCCTCCATGAAAATGCCCAATTTGCTGCTTCGGAATGTCGTGTAATATGTGTAATATCGGCAAATACTTACATACTTAGGTAAAGTTCAATAATATTTTTATTTCATCCAAAAAAATAATTTCAACACAATCAAAATAACGATAATGGTAATCAAACAAACACCTAAAACAGCAAATTCCTTGCCCGATCGATGTCGTTTCCTCGTCGATTCACTTTGACCACCGATTCCGTCGATCGCCGCATGGCCCGGTCGATGTTGCGAACCGTCTGCTCGTAGATCCCGGCCTTGGATACCGAAACCAAATCGGTCGGCTTTCTGAATGCTTCGATTGGCGAAACCGATGGTCGACGGGAAGGCACAGCAAGTGCTCTACCACCACTCGAATGGGGCGAGTCGTTGAGACCCTTCGACAAAAGTGTGTTCCAACGGGATTCACTGCCGCTCCCGGGACGGGAAACAACTCTCTGCCGTTGCTGATTGATCGGTGTCGCCGGTGTACATTTGACCTGTCGAGAATCCATTTGATTGCTCACCAGTACCGGACTCGCAGGCGAAGCAGCCAACACTCCGGGTGATTTGCGTTGTTCCCGTAACTTCCGGATCAAGGCTTCCTCCTTTTTAATCGACACATTCAGCTCATCGTAGTGTTCCTTCAGCTTGTAGATACTTTTCTTTTTAGCTTCATATTTCTCCAGTATCCCGATCCGACCGGCAATGTAGGTGTCCTGTTTATCGTGCTGGAACTTGATCACCTTAAGCGTTTTGGCCAGCAGTTTCTCGGCGGGAATGAAGTAATCCCTCAAATCGCTCGGAAGTGTATCGGGACGAATTTCTACCGTTCGGCACGGTTTTTGGCAAACGCCGCACTGGGTTAGGCTGGTTGCACATCGCCGGCAGAATATGTGCTGACAGGTGGAAAGCAGCAGCGCGCCGACGGATTTTGGCTGCCGGAAGCACACCTCACAAAATTGAAACATTTTCACACTGCCGCGATGAAGAAACTGCACGAAGAACAACAAACAACACTCTCTCTAGTTTAACGTCTGCAGGATTAGGTTCTGCATCGTCGATGTCAATCGTGTCAGATGTCAATTATATACACGGTAATCACAACAAACACTCTTATGACTATAAAGTACGCTCTTTCTTTGGAAAATGGGACTACCCAATAAAGGAGTATACTGTTTTTACTCTCTTTTGCGTAAATTGAATGTACGTCAGAATCTGCATACTTTTTACACCACATAGTAAACTTAAAAATGCGTAGTTTTGACACCCCGAGCAAAGTATAAATGCGTAATTTATACTCCCACATGCAAAGTTAAATGCATAGTTTTTACATTGAAAACAAAAAATACCTACGATAAAACAAATTTTGTATTTCAAGATCGTTTCAAATATTGAATAAAAATGCATAAGAATTTTAACAGTAATATTTATTTATTTTATTAAATGGAATAAATCCTTTCTAGATTTTATTCGTATCAATCGTCAAAACACTTACACCAATCCATCGAATCAGCGGTGCTGCCAACTCCTCCTCGACTCCCAATGGCATCACGTTTGGCGGTTTTTTAACGCCTTTGCTGGACAGTTGTCCCATGATTCGGAGGCATCCGCGGACATGATCTACATTTAGATGAAAATTTAATTTAACACGTCATGAATACTCGATGTCCTTTTTATTCGGTTGAATTTTTTTATTTGGTTAACAATAAAAGTAAATGCTTTAATTACCTGCTAGTTTCGTGAATACGTCCTGTTCCAAAGTGGACAATTCCTCCATTTTCCGCTAACCCACCGCTGAAATAATCCGGGACCGGGAACTGAATTAAAACGCTGCTTTTCCAATGAACGCTGTTTTGAATATGGCGGCACGTCGCGGCATAAATTTTCTTTTCTCAGCGGGGACTACTTTTTACACATTTTTGTTCGTCGTTGACATACTCGGAAATGCATAAAAAGTACTCTTCATTTGTAACTAAAATCTAAACATTTTTTGACGTATAAACCGTATTCTCGAAAATGTGTAAAACATAGTCATAAAAGGAGTATTCTAGAATTACCGTGTACAAGGTCTGGCCCCTACACGCTAACATGAAAGTACTCATTAATGAGTAAAAAAGACCCATTTTGAAGAAAAGTGGCTTAACTCATTAATGATTAAACAATTTTACCCATTAATGAGTATCTGTTACCCATTAATGATTAACAATTACTCATTAATGGGTAACAGATACTCATTAATGGGTAAAAAAATTACTCATTTAATGAGTTAAGCCACTTTTCTTCAAAATGGGTCTTTTTCAACCATTAATGGGTACTTTCAAGTTAGCGTGTAGGCGGGTAATAAAGGTGTCACAGTAGGAAGAATGGATCATTTTAGATGGCTGAGTTTTGAACCCACCACAGCTTTCATTTGGCGCTACTGTATACGGACGAACCAATGTAAAATACTGTGGTAGCCACAGTACGGTGCTGTCAAAACCTCAGCATCTTCAATGATCCATAGTGTTAGTTTGTTTACTAAAATGAACTATGCCCATTTTGTTATGGCAGTTTTGCCACAGACAAACAGACATAACACTCATAAGTTGTTCATCGAACAAGCATTTTATGGTCAATTTGAAAGTATCTCAGTTGGTAGTACTGCCACCTGTGGCGCGCATAGTAAATTCCCTTACGTTTGACGTTTACACACTACCGCCATCTGTTCAGCGTACTACCCACCACAGTGTACTCAACAGAAGGCGGTAATGTTTTAGCGACGATGTTTTACAATGAGAAATATTCAATGTGTTATGTCTGTTTGTCTGTGGTTTTGCTATAAGAAATGCTCCTCGTGTTTATTAGCGAAATTCACATCAAAGGTTGGTTAATTGCGTAGGAAATCAGTTTGGCACGGCATTTGTGACCAGCATACACCTTCCGGTCGTATGAAACAGGCCAAAAACTGTCCAATTCCGCCCATACAATTTTTTGTTTTGAATTTCTGTATGGCAAAATAGTGAACTTTCCGTGAACTTTAACGGCAAAGAACTCACCAACACTGGGAGACCGTGAGCTCCTGTCCACCTGTCATAAACCCATCTCGAGCCCGATCGCTTTGCCGTTAAGGTGATACGGTACGTCATGCAACAATGGCTGTCTCCACAATCATTAAATAAACGTGTTTTGGTATGCGTACAAAAGACATCTTCCTACAAAATAGTAAATTACTAATTACATACCTTAAAAAATGGGCCAAAATTGTATGAATAAGATCTGGATACATATTAGTACACTTTCTCACCAAAATATTGCCAATTCATTCATGCATTCGTAATATTTGCATTAAAAAAGTACGATCAGTCGATTTTGTTCTACTCTGGGCATGTTGTTCGAGACCTTGTATGATTGACATCGGATGGCAACTGGCAACTCCGGCCGGCATTTCATTTTCTCAATCGAATGCTGCTATCTTTTACGATGACTTGAAACATAAGTGATTTATGTTTGAGTCAGAGGGCCATCGCAAAGATTCGTGCCCGAGTTAAAAGCTAACTGAAACAATTCAGTAGGATTTTCCTTGATCTGACTCATATTTTCTTCCAATTGACCTCCAGGTACTCAAGGAAAAACTTGGAGTCCATACGATTCTCGGCTTAACTGCGACTGCTACCGTCCAGACTAGGTATCTATTCCTGTTCTGACACTTATGGACACTTATCTAAAATCGCATTATTCCCTATAACAACAGACTCAGCATCGTCGAGCACCTGGCCGTTCCGGATGGTACCAGTGGCATCATCAGTGATACGCCCCTACCGGACAATCTGATCCTCACGGTGTCGAAGGATGCCAACCGTGATGCGGCGCTGCTCCACCTGCTGCAGTCGGATCGGTTTAGCGAACTCCGATCGATCATCGTGTACTGCACCCGACGGGACGAGTGTGAGCGGATTGCTGCGTTCCTGCGCACCTGTTTCCAGGAAGCGCAGCGAGCGGAATCCGAAGAAACCGGTAGAAAAAGGAAAAGAGTGAACTACACGGCCGAACCGTACCATGCGGGACTGTCATCGGCCAGGAGGCGAACCATTCAGAATGCATTCATGAGTGGAGAGCTGAGAATCGTGGTAGCAACGATCGCCTTCGGGATGGGTATCAACAAGGCGGACATCCGGGCGATTATTCACTACAATATGCCGAAGAATTTCGAGAGCTACGTGCAGGAAGTTGGTCGTGCTGGTCGCGATGGGAACGTCTCTCACTGTCATGTGTTTTTGGATTGCCATGGGAAGGATAGGAACGAACTGAGGAGACACATTTATGCGAATTCTATAGATAGGCACGTGATCAGGAAGCTGCTGCAGAAAATTTTTATGCCGTGTGCCTGTGCGAAGAATTTCAAGGATGAGTAAGTTCTTCTGTTCGATTTGGAATTCACTTGGAATTTCCTGGACCGTTTTTCATTGCAGGAAATTCTCCGATGAGCATCGAAAGCAGATAGAAGCATTGAATGGCATCAACTGGTCTGATGATTTCGACGAAACGATGGAGGAGGCATCAAGTAGCAGTGCCAAAACGGTTAGAAGCAAGCGGATATGTCCAGGGCATGAAGCTTGCTTCTCTGTGGAGTCGACTGTCCAGCAGTTGGACATTCCGGAAGAGAACATTGCAACGTTGCTGTGCTATTTGGAACTACACGAACAGCGGTACATACACGTGCTGAGCAAGGCCTACGTAATGAGCAAAGTAATGTCCTATGCTGGACCAAAAGCCTTACGGAATGCAGCCAAGGATTGTCCACCACTGGCCATGGCAATTGCGCTGGAACTGAAGAAAGGCAACGTTCAGACGGGTTCCACTTTCATTGAGTTCCCGGTTATTGATGTTGCGTCTGCCATCGGTTGGGATAGCGGTGTGGTGAAGTTTCAGCTGAAGAATCTTGAGTGGACCATCGGTTAGTACTATTACCTTGATCTGTGCACTTCAAACATGTTTTTTTTTTAGAAAACAACGCTCGTCAGCGATCTCCTATCAGTGTAAGCTTCTTCGATCTTGGCTTCCGAATTCGAGCTCCGGGAGATCTAACCGATGAGGAATTGGATAAGACCTTGGACTCCTTGTACGATAGGGTTTCGAGTCAGGAAAGGGCTCAGCTACTGCAGCTTCAGTGTGTTTCGCATGCGCTGTCGTCGGTGGCTTTCCAAACGTACCTCCCCATTAGTAGGACCGACTGTCCCCAGGGACCTTCGGATAAGCTGAAGACAATCGTACGGGAGTACTTCCAAACCGATATCAGCAACGAGCAAATCGAACTTATTCCCGAGGTAAAAGTCTCTTGATATTGTGGTTATTACATTCAGAAAATTACAACCAATCTCCTGTCTACTTCCAGATGGACGACACCCCGGACAGCCAGCTGCTGAACGACATTCGAACGCTGATCCATCGCTATCCGGAGAACAATTTCAGTGGCAGGGCTGTAGCGAGGATTTTCCACGGAGTGCAGAGTCCCAACTATCCGGCCGTTATCTGGGGTAGAAGTAACTTTTGGCGTGCCTATACCAGTGTCGACTTTAATCGGATCGTACGCATGGCTAATGCAGAAATTGTGCGCATGCGAACGTGAATAGTTGTCTTCGCTATGCGGATTGATGATAATACTGTTTTTTTTTTGTGCGGTTTACTATTATCAAGCCTGCTTACCTTTTAATGTTGATGTGATAGGTGCTTAGGAAAAAGATTGATTATTGAAAAAAGTCTACTCGTCGGATTGCGTGACCCATGGAAGCTTTATTAAATACATATAATTGTTTTGTACTGAAAGATATTTGAAGATTTTTGTCCAATAGTGAATGTATCAGATCCAAGGAATACAAAATATCTGCAAATGACTAAATGACAAGCGATCAACGAACCGATCATGACAAGCAGCCCGTGCGACACAGCTCACTCGGGGCGGTAGAAGGAAACGAGCAAATTGTTGGCAAGCTGCTTCACGAAGAAAAGCTGAAGATGATACACGTGTGGTAATGGGATTTTTTTGGATATGTCTTTTCTCGATTCAGATCAAGCTATGTCCTCATCCGAGTATTTTGCAGCAAAGAAGGCAAGCAATATATCATTATTTTTCTACCACTCTGATCGAGCTATGTTACAGAGCGAGTTTGTCATGGTAGTCGTAGCAACCGTTTTGTCTGTATCGTTGGTTGCTTTATGTGTTTGGATTCGCTGATCAGATCACATAACAGTGAAATCTGAATCATCCATCGAACAGCAGCAAACACAAATGGCAGATATTGAGAGGCCAGAAATAAAAAAGGCGAGCTGGTATATAAGAGGCTGTTCCGATAGGACCAAACAAGAAGCTCTGGATTTATGATTTGCTCAAAAATGATTTTCTACAATATCATTGCTAGAAAAAGAATGGCATTATATTCTATTGGCATACAATACCGTTGACCCCCGTTAAGGCAAGCGCACAATAGATATGTTTTCGAGTTTTTTGACAGCTAGCCCATGCATTATCTGTCAAAAAACCCGAAAATGTATCTATTGTGCGCCAGCCTTTACTTTGACCGTTCTTAATCTGCACACTTTTTAGTTTGAGCCCCGTTAATCTGTACGCCGTGCAAACTAAAAATTGCTCAAACGTCATCTAGCACTTGAAATGCAGTAAACTGAAATGGAACGATCCGAAACGGAATGCAGCATCAAAACAAAACAGCAAATAACGTTACCAGAAACTCCATTTTCTGATAGTCATAGGGTTACTAGAAGTTCAAATTAAAAACAAACCCCATGCACGAAGTGTCGTTCAGATTAACGGGGGTCCACGGTATTATCACAGACAAACAGATAGAACGCTTGCAATTTGTTTATCGAACACGCATTTAACGGTACACACTAAGATTTTCTTTTCGTGTTCGGTAAATTTTACCGAAATCAAAACAGCTGAACGTTTGGTAAAACTTTGACCTTTATTTTAAAGGCTATTGAATTTGAAAATAGTTTCAAAACATGTTCATGTTGTTGTTGTTTCAAGTGATCTAGAAAACATTTGAAAATCTTCCGAAGTTTCAAATTGTTTTGCTGAAACAGCTCACGAAATTGTATATACATGCTGTCAAATGAACTCTTGGCCCCTCCTCCTCTACTCCAGAAATAACGTATACATGGTTTATGGGACTGCACATGCCCACAAAGCTCACATTACTCTTTTAAAGTTTGATTACATTCTTGTTTCAGCAACCCAGTTTTGGCATTATTTAATATCAAATAAAAACACTTTTTCGAGCATCACGCTCGATGATTTACATTGGCCCTTATTATGAAGTGACCAGTTGTCACTCACGGTGAAGTGATTGCCGTGTAAATCAAATGAGAATCACTTCACCGTGAGTGACAAGTTATCACTTCACCGTGAAGTGAGATCGGTAATAAGGGCCATTATCCGCCTACTGAGGTTGCTGTTTCGATAGTTTCATAATTATAATTCTTAATTTGTTTTCAGTAGAGGGCAACACCTTTACTTGTGGTTCAAACAGTAACTACACAGCAAAAAAAAAATGTAATATCGATCAATGTAATTCAAGCTGATGTATGAAATAATGATGTAATAGCAAAAAGCAGATACAATATTACATCAATGGATGTAATTTTGTTCGCAAAATCGATGTACATCGTACAACGTTATAACACAACCAATGGATTGACCTGGCTGCAGCAGTTTGGATGTAATATTCACCAACTTTTTTTTTCTGTGTACCAAATAACAGACTGAAGTGGTAATTTTTATACGTTAGATGAGGAGGAGATGAAAGTATAGAATTGATAGTTCCGTTAGAGTACGGCAGTGTGAAAATTGCATATAGAGAGTAGACAGCGAGCTAGGACAACTTTTAGGAAGGTACAAATCGGTTTTATCATCTCTCTTTACCAAACTCCCCCTTTGGAGAGGGATAGTGAGGGATTCCCCCCCCCCCGCCAACACTGGCAAAAAGAGATGATCGCCGACCGCTAAAATACCAACAATGTGTTTGAAACAGTTCTACCGATTTTTACCGCACTCCAGTTGTTATTTGAAGGAAGGCATCCTTTGTTAACTCCACGGTACCGGAAAAGATATAGATACATACACAGCAAAAAAATAATTTTGATATCACGTCAAAGTGGATGCACTACAATCATGTCGAAAATGTGGTGTAATATTACTTGCTAAAAAGGACAAAATTATCATTAATACAATGCATGAACTGACATTACGCTGCTTTTACTGCATTTGTTTATTTATGTGGTCATAAAAATTACATGAAATTTTCGACATGATTGTAGTGCATCCACTTTGATGTGATATCAAAATTATTTTTTTGCTGTGTACATTATTAGCAATGATGTGATATAGGGGCTTATTACGGATGTCACTTCACGGTGAAAACTTGTCACTTGTCGTCACGGTGAAGTGATTCCCATTTGATTTGTATGGTAATCACGGCTCTTATTCTGAGTATCACTTCCCTATCACCGTGTTGTGACACCCGTAATAAGGCCCATAAATACAACGGGATGGCCGTTCAGAATAGTTCAACGGATGTGAAATAAGGGAACATTTAAAATTAACACGATTTAAAGTTTCAATGCAACATTACATTTCAAGACCAACAATTTAAAAGGCCTCAACTCCATTTTGTAAACAAACCTACCGAAGTCCGCAAAGGCAAACCAACATAATGAACAGGTAGGATAAATTCTCCTCTACCCGATTGTGGTTTAGGTTTGCAAATGTACACAGCAAAAAAATGTAATATCGATCAATGTAATTCAAGCTGATGTATGAAATGATGATGTAATAGCAAAAAGCAGATACAATATTACATCAATGGATGTAATTTTGTTCGCAAAATCGGTGTACATCGTACAACGTTATATTACACAACCGATGGATTGACCTGGTTGCAGCAGTTTGGATGTAATATTCAACAACTTTTTTTTTCTGTGTAGGTTTCGGTTCGCGAGAAAATGGCCTTACAAGGTTTGTTTACAAAATGGAGTTAAGGCCATTTCAATTGTTGGTCTTGATTTGTTCACTAACAGCAAAGATATCTAATTAACAAGATATCCCACTAATCAATTCCTCATACAAGGCATATAATTACCACCCGTATGTGATCGCAGTGCCATCTGTTGAGTGCACATTGAAACTGTTGGGAGTTCCCCGCCAACTTCACCACCTGGGCTCAATAACTGACAGGTGTCAGCATGATAGATGTCAATGCGGACGTTGATGATCAGCCGAGGAAAGAGGACGATATCATCCTCGAAGTCATCATCATTATATTGCGATAGCAAGATTCTTACTTGTTTGTGATTGTTTCGATTTTCAATCATTACCACTTTATACGCAACAGAAACACTTGAGAAAACAATCACACATCCAAGCGCGCGTCATGATGTGCTTGTAATATGTTTTGCTTTCGAGCGAAAGAGTTTTCAATATACCACCGGTGTCATTAAGATGCAAATCTCTAATAGTAATTGATGATTTGCGGAGCTGGTGCTCGAAAGAATCTTAATAAGCATAGAAGTAAACATGGGAAAAGCATTCACTCTCTCTAAAGAACAATTCTTTAATTAATTATTCCAACACCCCAGTCACTGGAAATGCAACGTATCGAAATCATTGCTAAACGTAATAAAATATGCCGTCTTTTTTGGCCAACGCAGCACACATTCTATTCAAAAATTACATTGGAATAATCATTACTTTCCTATTTTATACATAGGAAGTATTTGTCAACGCCGGTGAAAGCAAACGCAAACGGAAGTAGCCGAAGCTGAATGAAGACGATGAGTGATGACACCGCTTCGTGTTTTGATTTGCGCTGTACCGTCCGCTCAGTTGTGTGGGTTCGTACATGTATAGATGTTGGTGTGCGTGTTTTCTTCCAACGCTACAGTTCAGCTTTGTCTCATCACAAACCGTTTGGCGCTGTTATCTGTCTCTAAAAAATCCAAAGAGTGAAGGGGGTCTGCTAACAGTTAACACATTTTTCAATACGTTATCAAAACTGATTTCTGAAAGAATTTACTTGTGTTTATACAATTAGTATCAATGTTCCGTCATATTGTATCTTCAAGTGATCTTCGCAAGCGCCACATTTCGTTCAGGCTCTTTGGAACTACGTGTGATGAAATATGAAACGCACCTTTTAAAGTGAAAAGCACATAACAATGTTCATCACTTACTCACACATGAAATCTGCCTCAACCCTCGCCTCAACCAACCTGACAGAACGCGCTTTAACCATAGAGGTAACTTTGGTAAAACTTTGACCTTCATTTTAAACTCGATTTTAAAGTCCATTGAATTCAAAAATAGTTTCAAAACATGTTCAACCTTGTTTAAACGATCAAATAGTGTAGGTTTAGTAACTGAAAAGCAATTGAATTAAATTACATAAATTTTTCCGAAAAGTTCAGCTGTTCAGATTTCGGTAAAAATTACCGAAGTCGGCGATAATTTCTAAGTGTTGTAGGTTTTTTGATCTAATTTCCGTCCTCCTAAGGACATCGCGCACTTTACCACGCTTTTTGGAAAGGGTTTGAACAAAACATGGAATGTTTTCATCAAAGATAACTTCTAAATTTATCCACCTTTCCATACATACCGTTGGATTTGATAAAGAGTCAAACAATGTTGAGATATTATTAAAAATCTAACACTGCTTCTTGCTTCTAAATTCGTCCTACGCGTTTCAATTCCGTCCAAACGCATTGAAACGCCATTAGATTTCCTTCGTCCTACGGATAAACGGAGAAAAGGGGGATGCGCTAGGAGCGCTTCTTTTGTTTTGAGAACAATGAGCGTAAATATGCATACAATGCGCTCTAATAGGATTTATGTTGTAGCTAATGAACTAACGCATCGGAACAAACGTATTATTGTTTTGTGCATTGTGAAATCATTGATATTATTGATGATTTCTGCTGGATAGAACGGAAATGGGCGATTGCGACGAAGCAGCGCTCTTCCCTACACGGCTGTTGGATGTCCTCATATGTTCATAAATTTCGAGTAATTATGTATGTCCCTCATGCACTTTTCTGTCACAAAGTGACGAGAGTCACGTGACGAGAGCGATTATGAGCAGTCACTTTCTTTTGTCATGGTGACAACAAAGTGAGTGACATGACGGTGATCATGCCCTAATAAAAATGTTATGGTTAATTTGCTTAACGACGTGTTCTGGGTATCATCCAAACCATTTGTGGAATAGTTCACACATTTGGGTTATCGTTCGTTTATGGTAATTTTTTTATTAGGGTGGACGTTCTGATTTTCTGAGACTTCAGTCACTTTAGTTTTTGAGCATTTTCCTCTCTGCTTGAAGCACAGCAGAATTATTGTTTCCATCTAATCGCAGGATTGATTGCATATTAGAGGATGAGAGGATGCACAATATCCTACAGTAATCCCTTCATTTATGCAATAGGTTGTACCGTCCACCCACCGCTATTTCTCTGTAATCCTTGAACCAATTGAGCTGATTTTCTGTAAACAAATAGTTTATGGTTGACACTAATCACATACAAAAATTCAGCGTAATTCGATGATGAACAGCTGAACAACAGCGGTGGGTGAACGGTACCACCCATTGCATACATGGAGGGATTACTGTATTTAATTACCCTATAAACTACCAAGTGTCTTCTTTTCCTGGTGGTGCCTTGGTGTGTTTAAAACTTTATTCAGTATATGTATACGCACATCGCCATTACAGGCTTCCGCACGCAATCCGCATAACGTCCATATTGAATCATACGCAGCATAAATCCATCAGATGGCAGCAACGATGGGTGGCAACATCGAGGGAGTCCTGCTGTTGTCATCATACCACACGGTCTAGCTCGCTCACACGAATGCAAAGCAAGGCATTGCAGAAACGTGGTCGTGTACACAGTGTTTTGGATCGTCGAACAATGTAAGGGTGGTACCTGCGTTGGTGGGTGGTTGCCATGGGTGTGGGGGTGTGTTATCTGTCACGCGGATGGTCGAACGTGTCAGAGATTGCGAGGCAGGCAGGCAGGCTGGCAGCGTGATGAACATTATCGTCTTCGTCGCCAGAGAGAAAGAAAACCGAGAACGTTTTGCTCAAACAAGCAAGTAGTGCAAAATTACTACACGACAATCGTCGTCACAGTGCTGTGTTCATCGTCGACCTGGTCGTGAGTGTTTTTATTAAATTTTTTTTCTCGGGGTTTCTCTGCAATTCGACCGAATTTTGCTGCCCACTGCCTAGCCTAGATTGGGGTTGCTTCCGTGGGAACTAAAAAACAGGTGAACATTATTTCATTGTTTTCATCATTTCATTTGCTTGATATCTTCGGAAGTGAGGTTTGTGTGCTCCACCAAGGCGCGCAGCTTCTTCGTTAACCGAGAAGATTCGTTCGTTTTGTGGTTAAAAAAGTGCGTGTGGATGTCGGATTCACTTCAAGGACGACCGAACATCATCAGCAACTTTCCGAATAAAGGAGGAGGATGAGCAGTTCGATAATCAGGTCCTTTGTCAGCTGGTTGCAACAGTAGGGGAAGACAGTGTACTTATTGTATATCACTGCAAAATGACGAAGTTATGGCCACGAAGGTGAAGATGAGCCCATACCAAACAACTAGGTACCTACGAGTAGCGAGAAAATCGTAGGAAAAAAGATTCGATTAGGATGTCATGCAAGTGGAAAAAGTTGTGTTTTAGGTTTTGGTGTCATTGTTGACGGTATAAAGTAGGCGACCTCTATTTGTTGTTGGTGGATTAGTTTTTTTTATGTTGCAAAAGTGGTCTGTGCGGGTAGCCTTGGAAGCAGCTGGAACAAGAGAAGCGCTCGGATATCATCGGTACACTCTGTAGCGCGTAGCATTGCAGAAAAATCCGGAAGTGTTGTAGAAGCGTATCTAAGTCAGTAGGGTAAACGCTCCTGTAGTTGCGGTAAATTAGAAGCGTTAGGTTCCTATACTTTTTTATGGAGTCTCCTGGAGGAAACTAATGAAGGAACCTAACGCTTCTAACGTACTGGAACTATAGGAGCGTTAACCCTATGTATGCTTGCAGTGATTATGTGTTGGTTTGGTTCGTAAATTTTGCACGCGGTACTCTTTAGTAGAGATGTTCGTAAATATTAAATGAGTATTCAGTGAATATTTCGCAGAAATTACGTCAGAAGCGAAAGAAGAAGTTGCGAAGAAGTAAATTCCGACGGAATGGTTAAAGTAAACGGTAGTGATTCAGCGATTCTTCGGTGATTTTTTTTTCTGGATACGATTGTGTGGGAAAGTACTGTAAGCACGCCAAACATGTGTTCGGGTGTCGCCTCTTCTTTGGCTACTGGTGGTGAAGACGACGAATGATATTTCGAGAATATTGGAGCCGTTTCCACTGGAGAGAAGAGTGCAAAACAATAACGCATCCAATTGACTGACCCCTCGGCTATACGATCTATAGGTGAGTGATTAATCGTTCATTTAATCTCTTGACTTGCTGTTCATTCCATTATTGTCTGCCGTCCGTCCGTCCCGTAACCACCCTCACCAATTACGGACGTGTGTATTTAACACTATTGAGGGGAAGGTCATTAGGTTTATCATCACAGCCAACCACCCCCCGAAAGTGGAGTATGTCGCTGTGTCGCACGTCTCCCAAGCATGGCTACGAGAGAAAGCGCTAGCTCAATGTGCTTTCCATCGAAAGTCAAATAAAGACCTTCTTAAACTTAGTATACTGTGAGCACTTCCACAGAGACTTCTGGAAAATGGTTTGAGAATTCCAATTGGGTTCTTGGAATTTAATATAAATTTTGGACACTCGAGTCGTTTGGTCGAATTCCGTTCAGTCGAATGCCGTTTGGCCGCAAGTTGTTCAACCACATTTTAGTAAGCTGAAACATTAGAATAGAATTATAATACTTTTTTTTCATGGTTTTATGACTGAAAGTTATTTTCGCTAAGATCGATACAATGAATTGAAAATTACAGGGAGGTACCATTATTTGCGGATGAAGTTTTACCTGACATTTTTCAGGATTCCCTGGTTGGTTTTTGGTAATAAAGATAGTGACCCCAAATTTTTTACCTTTTTCACATGATGCTCTATAGTTTGATGACTAACTATCAAAAAATTAACTTAGTAGCAATCTGGTCACTGGATAAAAGTATTTCTAGATTTCCGGGGATTCCCGGGTAGAGCCGTCAGCTGTTTCCCAATACTTGGATAGCTAAAAATGGCTGGAAAATGTATTGTTTATATTGTTGCAGGTCCTTAAATTATGTCTTAGTTGTCAGCAAGACAGTGTTCGCAAGACCCATAATCTTGGAGGTGGTAACTAATTGATTAATTTCCAGAATCATAAAAGTTTGCTCCACATTTTGAAAACTTGACTGAAACTTCTGTATCCCAAAATCTTGAATATTTGACTTAGAGCTAGAGACTCTTAAAATTATTTGCATAAAACAAAACCACATACCGAAAACAGTTAGTTAGTTAGTTTAGCTTTATTATATTACCTATATCGCTATTCTGTATTCCGTTCGAAACGGATTTCCGATACATTTTGTTTAGGGTTAATTGGGTTTTTTTTTAGCTACGTACATATTTGGAATAACGTAAATTGGAGTGTGTTCGCAGAAAATTCGATCCCAGCCTCCCTCATTAGTCATGGGTGGATCGAATCCATCCATGACTAATGGGTATGTACGTAGATAAACAGTTTGTTGTTGTTGTTGTTATATGCTATACGAATGAAAAATGGCTTCTGTGGGTGGCTTTGACATAAGGATTAACCGTGGGTGTTGAAGGATTCACGAAACACTAGGCTTTCTGCCCTTTGCATATTCATTCATTCGCACCACCATCATACACTTCATCGGCCACGACGAACCAGGACGACGACGTAGGTACAATGATGAAAGTAAACTTTTTCTTTTTCTCGACTCTCATCAATCGAGAGGGGATGATTCGGTCGTTCCTGTGCAAGTTCCTGAGCTAAATTAGGAGCCCGGGAGGTTGTGGTGAGAGAGGTGATCAAGATAAATATACTATGTTGAATCTGTAATCCGTCCCGACTGCATGGGGCGTGAGAAAGAGGGTGGTTTGGGGCCATGGGTGGTTGGTGGCAAGGAGGGTCGTATCACATTCTTCCATCGAGTAGACGCGAAAAATATGAGCTAGATTGCATACCATCGTCATCGTGGTCGTCTGGTTTGATGTGACACGTTTATTCAGAATGCCCTTTCACATTTGTCCCATGCCATACCTACACTACCCCAAATTTCTCATGGTATGAGGGACAGGGGAGAAATGTCAATGAGTCATTAATGAAGGGAATATTAGTTGTGAGCAGCATTTTTTTTGGATAAGTGACATTTTCCAACCCCAATAACTTTTAAGATTTTTAAGAAATTGATACTTTTCACAAGATTGAACACCTTATGTGTGCGAATTAATTCAAAAAAGCTACTGAAATTTCCCTAGGGCTTGAACAAATTTCCCAACACGAAGCGATTCCTTACACATATTCAAACTCATAATCAACAACCCTTTGTTAGGAAATATTCGTTGGCTTGTACATCTTAACGGGACCTTTATGCCTGCCCTCAACACAGGGTGCTCAGAGTAAGTGTCACTAAAATAAAATGAATCCAGAACAAAATACATCCACAATTTTATCATTCAATTTCTATTGAAAGCTACATGTTAGACAACCAAACCATATTAATGCGATTTGAGCCGTTATTTTCTTTAGAACTTTTCGCAAATCCAAGCAGCAAAAGTTACCTGAATCGGTCCATAGTAAACCCATTTGCGATTCCTACATATATTTATAACCTCAAATAAAGAAGTCAAGTGGGTTAAAATCCGGAGAAGATGTTGGCCACTCTTCGCTAGGGATAAAATCAGGCAAATTTTTCGCGCAAAAGATTTGGATTATTTATCTTCAGCAGTGTGATCTGCGGGAACTAACCGGGAATTTGATTGGAATCTTAAAATAATTAATCTAATTAATCTTAAGAATTCTTGTTAATCATGGATCTTAGATTGCTGTGCACGAAATCTTAATAAGCTTTCAATGTTTGAATTTACTAATTTATTTTTTTGGAACTTATTTCAACTTAGCAAGGTTATCCTTTTACTTTCAAAATTCCCCTCAATAATCTCATGATTCTGTCTGGTATAGCCTAGATATTTTCTTTATAAAAGTCTCAGAATTCTGTGCAGAACACTTTGACGATTGATTCCAGAAAAAAAGCATCGGCGCCGGTAGTGTAGTGGTAAGCGTGATTGCCTCTCACCCCATCAGGCCTGGGTTCAATCCCAGTCGGCGCCGCCGGGATGTTCTGAGGCATAACATTTTTGATCACGCCTTCCTTCGGAAGGGAAGTAAAGCTGGTCCCCGGTTCATGAGTTGATGGGTCGATAGGTAGGGTCCAAGTGTAGGAGCTGCCTCCCTGGCGTCGGTAGCATTGGTGCTCAGCACGGAAAACAAGATCGACGTAAAACAAATCAAGGAAAAAAAAAATCCAGAAAACTGATGAAATTAACTTCATTTTTATCTTTGTATTCTCAATTATTCTCTAGAGAATTTTCTTTAATTTCTTTCCTTAATTTTCATTATAATTCGTATGGAATATTCTTCGAAAATCTCTTGGCATGCCATTTAGTATTAGTGTGATATTGAGAGCGTATGAGAGTGGAAAACTATCAGTTGCTTGATGATTTTGCCAGCACTGAGTCCTATCATTATAAAACTTTCCGTGGGGTTAATTCACATTGAAAACTCCTTCGAGTTCCCTTCTCTGGTGTTCTATTAATAATCATCATAGAAATCTCTTCATAACTACCCACTTAGAAAAAGTAATGTAAATTTAGGTGCTCTGAGACTGACATATACGAGCGTCAATTTTGACATAAAATTGAGTCATAACAGACGTGCAATTCCATACAATTGTCTTGAAACACTTTTCAGAATTCTCCCCCAAATTTCTTTAGAGTTATCCCTGGAATTCCTCTTCAATACCTTCAATGCTTCAAGTGTCAGAATCCTAAAAATTTGTTCATGTCCAAGAGCTATGGTTTGCTTTTTTTCTTCTAAAATTTAGAGATCTTTAAAATACGGCAAATTTGAAGTAAAACTATCGCGCCAAGTTCAAGTAGTAGCATCGTCTCAAAATTTTGAAAATTTTCTTATGTAATCTTCGAAAAAATCTTAGTACGAGAATTCAAAAGCTATTACATAGATCGCATTGTTTACAAAAGTAATTTTTCGGCTCAATCTATTAATTTGGCCTAGTCCCTTAAACTATTTTACATGTAAGGTCGATGCCATAGTGAGAGCGAAGAGAAGCAAAGAGGCCGATCGAAGCGTTGAAACGAATGTAAGGAATAATATCATTAATGGGATCGCTTCTATTCGCTCTCACTATGGTATCGGCCTAACTTATGCCTTGTTCAGACTACAGAATTATAACATGTTATAGCGCTATCTTGATGTTGGTTTCTGTGTTGCAATTATTTGACAACCGTTATAACATGGTATGGTTAGGTTAGGTTATCTTTACTAGCGAGACTTTCAGCCAGAGGCTGGTTCATTTCTTGACGAATATTGGGGAATCCAGAAGGGGTCCCCCCTAGTGACAGAGTTTGAAATAGCGGTGGGGAGCCAGAAGGGACCCCCTAGTTAGAGTTAATGAGAAGGGACCCGGGAAGCGCTATCTTGATGTTGGTTTCTGTGTTGCAATTATTTGACAACCGTTTTAGCATGTTATGGTTACACGGTAAGAAAAAAGTACCCAAAATTGAGTTCCTTTCACTCATCACGTGGCTTCCGTGGGGATAGGTAAAATTAAGTTAAAGAAGAAAACTCGATTTTGAGTAATCCTGGCGTTGACCAAGTTGACAAAAAAATAATAAAACGGAGCAGACTGGAAACGAACCATGGACGTTGAGATTACGGGGCCCGTGTGTTGACCACTCGTCTATCAACGTTTGTGAAAATGAAATGGTTAAAGCCGCATAAGAGCAACCTCAATGAAAATAAACTTATATTTGAGTTCATTTATTATTACTCAATAGTTGAGTAAATTTTAACCAACGCCGCTTTTCTGATTCACTCAACGGCGGACCTCAAATGATAGAACCCAACGTTGAGTTTTTTTTTAACTTAATTTTGAGTATTTTTTCTTACCGTGTAGGTTATCTTTACTAGCGAGACTTTCAGCCACAGGCTGGTTCATCTCTTGACGAATCTTGGGGAATCCAGAAGGGGTCCCCCCTAGTGACAGAGTTTGAAATAGCGGTGGGGATCCAGAAGGGACCCCCTAGTTATAGAGTTAATGAGAAGGGACCCACTAATTAAGAGGAGTGGACAGTCCAGAAGAGATCTCCCTAGTAACAGAGTACATATTTGTTTATCAGAGTTGGCTGTCGAGGTCCTGTCGTAGTTAGTAGGT